GCGCTGACATATCTCATATCAAATTCAGCGACACCCACATTTCTCATAAATCATCAGTATATTTTGGAAAGAAAAATACACAAAAGCAAGCAAATTTCGTATAGCCCCCCCCCCCCCCTTCGCTGTCTGAGGTAATGTCCCATCGGAATGCTTTTTCAGGGAAATTTTTGAAAAATTGAGATCTTAGATTTTCCTAATGATAACAGTTAGAAACATTATTCTTCATTATTCTCCTAATTTTTTTGCTGTAACGGTTCGAAGTTAATCGAGTTAGAGAAAAAAAATTCTTTGAAAAATTGGTTTGGTTCAGAATTCTGAACTAAATGTCAGAAAATTTCCCACAAATTGTTTTTGAAAAGAAGTTTGGAATCAAGAATTCGAGAAGCTAAACTAATAACAGGCTAGTGGGATTTGAATTGTTTAGTTTTTTGAAGAATAGTCAAAACAATTTTTATCACGTTTCATTGGAAACTCTTTGTTCTCTGAGTTTCTTCTTTGGTTTTCTGGAAGTGAATTACGGTTAGCAATCTAATAAAATGTCACCCGAACTGTCAAATTCAAGTCCATGTATCTCATTTTCTGTGAAAGATATCAAAAAGTGATCAACTAATATAATCTTGCTGATATCATGACCAACATTTTATTAGTTGACAACTTTTTGATATCTTTCAAAAAAAGTGAGATATATTTGCTCAAAGTGGACGGTCCGGGTGGCGTTCTATTAGAGTGTTTAGGGTATATATACAGTACCGGTCAATGATGTACTAAAACGTTTTCAGTTGATTTTTTTACCGTTTTGATCCCTTTCTGGAGTCTGTAGCTCGGCTGTCCAGTACCCGATCACTTTGAAAATATTGGAGGTTATAGAACAGACTGAATACTTTGCATTTATAGAATTTTTCGAAATTTCTAATTTTACAGCTATTTGCCAATTTTTGAAAGACACACTTTTTAGTCTATTTTGTACTAAAAATGTGAAAAAAAATGTCTTTCAGAAAATGGAAAATAGCTGAAAAACTAACATAAGAGTTTTTGAAAATTTTTGCAAAGTTTTCAATCTAGGTTTGTTTTAAATCCTCCAAAAGTTTCAAATGATCGGAAACTTGACAGGCGAGATCCAGACTCCCGAAAATTATCAAAATGGTCAAGAATCAATTGAAAAACAGGTTGTAAATTTTATTGATCGCTACTGTATTTTGTCAAGTACCCTAACTCTATTTATCAATTTTAAACCAGTTTACTAGAGCTTTATTAGTTCATAGAAGAGTATAAATTGAATTTTCAGTTTTTTTCAAAACTAGTTGTTTAATATTGGCTTTTCACAGTTCCAAATTTTATTAACCGGTTCTAGGAAATCCCCCTAAAATCATTACACATCACGAAATAAAAATAAATTCCCTTAAAAAAAGAATAATTGGATGAGAATAGTGAATCATTAAATCTCGAGAAATTAGCTTTGTTGGAACCTTCTTCTCCTACAAAGCATATGAATAATGCTCAAAAATCTTCTGGGACGGTCGGCACTTTTCTATTTTTTTGACGTAATTTTTATTTTTGTTTTCATTTTTCTTACTCAAATCATTCAATGTGTTCAGTTCGTTTTCCAGCTATCCCAATTGTTTTCCTAGAATAGACTGTTCTCTAAATTGCCTCACATTTCATTACTGGGGCACCCAGGACAGAATGTGTACAATAGTATAACAATATACTAAATATAAATATACAAATTGTGTTCTTTGGCTTGCTTTGAAAACTTTCAAGGTCCAAATCGCTGCTCACGCCAGAATATCGAATTTGAGAGAAGAGATTATTTTTCTTTTTCTGCAAACCACCGTCGATGCTCCACTCCCCACGCAAAATCCAGCAAACTAATTGCCCTATATGAGTAGATAGACAAGGAATTTGATTCTAGCTTCATCTAGAAATCTCGCAGATGTATTTTTTCCTCATTTCTCAGATAGACTTTAAAGGCTAAGGCTGAGCTTGTGCAACAGTTGGGACATACATATCCCTTATGCATATCCCATTAATATTTCACCGTAATGCACTGACCCACACACTACACAACACAATCTGTCTTCTTTCCTTATTCCCCGCCTTTTTTGCGCCTTTGACTCAAATTTCAATTTTCGGATTTTTTTGGTTCTTATTTAATGGACTTATTGAGTGTGTATTAATCGAGTCACTTGACTTCAAAAAAAAATTAATTTGAAAAAAATCCTAATGTTGTTCTCGCTAGTTCCGTGTATAGTGCTGGCCATAAATATATGAAAAAACTTCCTTTTCAATTGATTTTGACAATTTTCAAGAGCCTGGAGCTCGGCTATTAAGTGTCCGATCATTTTCAAAACTTTGAAGGGTTTAAAACATACCTAGATTGAAAACTTTGCATTCACAGACATTTTTTTTAAATTCCTAGATTTTCAGCTATTTGTCGACTTTTAAAAGGCCCCAGTTTTTTCACGTTTTCAGTACGAAAACAGAAAAAAGGGTAATCTTCCGAAAACGGCAGATAACTGAAAAATTTTCAAAAAATTCTGTAAATGCAAAGTTTTCAATCTGGGTCTGTTTCATAAACTTTTAAGTTTTCAAAGTAATTGAACACTTGACAACCGCGCTCCAGACTTCTGAAAATGGTCAAAGTGACTGAATATCAACTGAAAATCACGATTTTTCATATATTTATGGCCAGTCTCTTACTTTAAAAACTAAAAATTCTTAGTAATTAATTTTTTGGAAGTATTTACGAAAGTTTATGCGATTTTTGAAACTTTAAACTTTAATTCCAAGTTTTGAGTGTTTGTGTACCGAGAACGAAGAACATAAGGAAAAACAATCCATCCCCGTTTTGCAGGGAAACTCAAAAATTCTATGGGGGCGTTTAAGTTTTTTCTTCTTGTTTGAGTGGGCTCAAGTCTTGATTGGCACCTTTCCAAACTTTATTGACACCATATTTTCTTAGGTTATGTGAAAATTCCCGCTCAAAAAAACGCATAACTATTTTTTTTTGAAATCCGAGAGCATTTAAAATTCAAATTTCGCATTCCACTCACATTCTCTTTTCTTCTGACTTCGTTCTTTTTTGTTCCTGTCGGATTCTGTTTTTTTTCTATCTATTCGGGAAGAGCCATCATTGCAAATTAATATTTCCAGAAATGTTAATCCATCAAGGATCAGAAAAAAACTTCCTTCCAGATCTTTTTCTTTGGTTTGTTAATCTTTGAGTTTTCAACTAGCAGTGCTTATTAATTTGATCGCAATTAGTAGAAAAAAGTCCACGCACTTCCGCACACCAAATCATTGTCTCCAATTTCGCGTCACGTACCCGGTAATTTTCCACCGCCACAGAGACAGGAAGGGACGTAATTAGTGATGGCTCAAAAGCACAACCCAGACTCATTCTTCCATTTTTTCCTTCTTTTTTTTTGAATCAACTCTTGTTTTTTTTCTAGAATCTTACGACGCAAATTGTCTCTTTTTGATCTATAAGAGAGTTTCCAGGAAAACTTCATAGACCACCACCTCTCGTTTCTGCAAAATAAGATTTTCATTCAATAGCATCTAAATTAGTTTTGCTTCAAATTCATAAACTCGCTTTTCACTAGAGACGTCTTCTTGAAATTTCTTGATCAGTGAACAATTCAAAAATTCAGAACAAAACGAAATGTCTTCCTTTTTACAAAATCCAGACGAGCAACAAAACATCAATACCAATTGAGTCCCGTTTAGCACAAAGAGAATGAAGTATGTGGGTCCAATCCTGCGGAAAAAAATGTGTGTGCTCTGATTTTGACAGGTTCGATGGAATGCTCCTAACCTCCCTATTGTATTTTTTTTTCTTCATGTCACCGTCATTTGTCTCCTTTCCTTTGAGAATCTAATTCTGAGAGTGTGTGCCAGGGCTTCTTTTGATTATTAGAAGGGGGTTAGTTAATGGAACACTGGCATGTGTACTAATCTTTGGCAGCTCGACTTTTTTTGAAGATCTTGAATTTTCCATTCTAAAACTTTTTGTTCGATTTTTGCTCTTTGAAGTTTCTGATTTTTACATAATTCCCAAAATGAAGAATGAAAAATCCCTAATTTCCTTTCTCTTCCTTCAATCACGTAACTACGAAACACGTTATAAGTTCATTAAGTTCGTTTTCAAGCCTAAGAAAACCCGAAATTAACCAAAATTGATCTGGTCTTTCAAAGTCTTTTCTTCTGAATTTATCCCTTCCGGAAAATAGCCTGATTTTGAATTTCCGGGTTTTTGAAAACATTCCCAAATTTCAAAAACTCGATTTTAGTTTTCTGAAGCATCTATCGTAAAACCAGTGACCTCTAAGGCATCTACCGTAAGACCTGTAATATATAAGGACCTTTAATTTTCAACTTTCAGCCAATTTATCTCGATTCATGTCAATGAAAAGGAAAAGTGGTCAACTTATAGATTGTTCATCGTAATATCAGACGTGTTTTGTCAGTTGACCATTTTTAGATATCTCCCACAGAAATTGTGATAATTGAGCTCAAACCTCACAGAATTGGACAATTCTGTTAAAGGTCTGACGGTAATTTCTAGTCTCTGAAAAATGTGGAACTTTTTTTAGTTTCTGAAACTTTTCAGAATTCTCAAGAGATACCGGTAACAGAATATTATCACTGGTTTTTTGCGACAGATTTTAATCAAGAATTCTGATGAATTCAAAAAACAAAATCATCTTTATAATTCTACAACTAGGTTCAAAACACACCGGAATCCCTGAGCTCTACCTGTCTCCACCTCCTGAAATACCCATCGAAAATAAATAAATTCCCTCCTCTTGAGCATCACATCCGGTTCTTGTCTTAGGACATTCCCAACATCTTCTTCCTTATGCACTCATCAAATACGGAGCATGGACTGTTCTTCATGCTCCTTTTGTTTTTTTTTCCTAGAAACATGATACGTCTTCTTTGTGCATATACACACATTGAATTGTTTCAGTTCGTCGCGTCGTCTTCTCATGCCAGTAATGGTGCCATCGGATGCCGCCCCCTCGCCGACCACCTTCATTGACGTCCTTTTTGGTTGGGCAGTTTCTTTCATCACAATGTTGTCGCATTTGTTGAATGGATATTTGACTGCATTCTTTGTATTTACTGGTGAGTTTCTTGAATTTAGCACCTAGTAGCAGATGCAAAAAAACGAAATGATCACTTTCCAGGAATTATTCTGAATCTACTCTCTGTCTCCATATTTCTACGAAAAGAGCGCGCTGGAACACCCGCTATTCAGTATTACTTGGTATGTTGATATCCTTGTAATCCGTCCCCCCCCCCCTTGATGGGATTAATTGTATTTTAGTCCTTGTTTATATTTTTTTTTTCGTTCACAAATAGGATTTTTGTGCTCCTACAAAAGAAAGGCGTCACATGGGTCGTCACAAAGATCTGAAAAAAGGGTCTCAATTTTCCTGATCTAACCGCTTACTCATTTGAAAAACGAAGCTGAAAAATACATATGACTTATCCTGTCAGGAGAAAAAACTGAGCTCTTATTTCTAATTGGATGTTTTAACATATTCAGAGCAAAAAAAAAATTTCCCAGACAAATCTAGCATAGCAGTTCTGAGGAATGCTAATGTCAGAAGGAACATTCTTTTTTTTTGAACAAGGTGTAATTGGTCATTCATGTCTCATGATCATGTTGAAAATTGATCTAACAAGAAGACCAAAGACCTGAAAATGATGCCTTCCTGGGAATATGCTCTCTTCGAGGGGTTACTGTAGCTCAAAACTACTGAAAAGCAAAGGAAATATCAATCAAGTTCTTGTTTTTCTTTCAGGTGACACTGACACTATGGCAAACGGCACTACTTGCCAACGCCTTCCTGCTGTATTCGTTCCCCAATCTCTGGTGGGGCCACTTAGTCTCCCAAGGCACGTACGTGTACCTCTATCCGTATGTGTACACGTTCGCAAACACCACTCACACCGGATCCGTCTGGATTGTTCTGACACTGACGATAGACCGCTATTTGGCTCTGTGTCAGCCACTCAAACATCGTGCAATCGGAAAGAAACGGTGCGTGAAACGAAATTACTGGGCTTCTTTCTGGCATATATCAAAGAGATCTCAGCCAGAAGGGAAAAAGAACCAAATTTCATTTTCAGAAGAGTGCGACGTCTCATGGTCGCCGTCTCCATTATGGCAATCGTGTTTTCGATCCCAAGATTCTTCGAAGTGCATGTGGTCTTGCTGTGCGAGCGTTCCGAACACAATTGTGTTGCCGCAATAGATAGGACTGAACTTTTCGATGTACGTGTGGGATGGGAAAATAAAAAAAAGGGAAAAATAATGAAGATGAAGAATGGAAAAAAGATCTTTGTTCAGAAAATATACCTAACTTATTTAAAATTCTTTAGAGATGGCGTTGTTTGCCAAAAGGTCCTGAGAACTTACCGAATCTGGGATTTTTAAATGAATGGAAAATATAATATAACATTGTGATGTTAGAAAACAGACTAGAATGTTAGAGAAAACATTTAGAATGTTTTGAAAACGCATTTCATAAATACATTAAGTTGTAAAAAAATCGAATACCATAAAACCTGTAATGAAAGGGTAAATTTTTTGTAGGCACTTTCCACTTTGAGCCAATCTATCTCGGTTCCTGTCAATAATATGAAAAAGTTGTGAACAGACAAATTGTTTATCATCATATCACAAACATTTTATCAGTTGATATGTTTTTGTTGTTTTCCGCAGGAACCATGAAAAATCAGCTTAAACTTCACAGTGACTTTTCAATTACAGGTCATACGGTCTCTCAACAGATTTCGATAAAATGCACAGTCTTTTTGAATCGGGCAGTCATAAACTTTGAAACACAAACTTTGTTTTAGAATTCTTGGAAAATTCGAAAATCTAAAATTCTATTTCTGACTCAAACTTCCAAAAAGTGGTACTTAAACTTCCAAAATTGGAAAACAGTTTCCTAAATATTCCAGAATTTACTAAGTGTCAACATTCAGGTAGATTTGAAAAAAAACAATGAGTATTGGGATTTTTCAATTTTTGTCCATGTAGTGATCTTGCATCTTGAGAAAAAAAGAATTTCACCGAACACCAATAATTTCAACAATGTAAGATTTACAAAACGAATCCCTACATTTTCCAGAACCGTCTCTATTGGACAATCTATCATGTCATTCTAGCAATGGTATTTGTAACATTGCTCCCCTGTCTTATCCTATTTGCTCTCACTTTGCGAATCTCAATTGGTACGGTTACAGTCCTTATCTCCTTACAAGAAATATTACGCAACTTATTCATTTCAGCACTGCGATCCGCTATCGCAAAACGCAAATCTTTATGTGCCCCTAACTCAGACATAGATACACGATGTAAATCGATGAAATCGTCACGATACAACTCATCAAGGTCGGTTTCCTTTGACGGTCTCATGACGTAACAAACATCTTATCATTCCAGGAAGGACCATAAATCGAATATTATGTTGGTTTTGGTGATCGCAAAATTCTTGGTCTCCGACATCTTGCCGACGGTTATTGATGTTTTGGAGCATGTAAGAGATATACTAGTTTTTGTTCAAAATGGGAAGGAAAAATTTATTTTCAGCTCGTCGGCCAATCTGCATTCATGAGATCACCACTTGCTTCCCTATTCGTCGATATTTCAAATTTCCTCATCGTGCTCAACTGCTCGTCCAACTTTTGGGTGTTCTTCGTTTGGGGCAAACGCTTTAGGCGATCATGTCGGAAATGTATCAAGTCGACTCATATTGGTGCATGTATTTATGACATGGCTCAATGGAATACGGATTCGGTAGGGAGACTGAAAACAGAGATTCTGGAAAATGTGATTTTTGATTTTCAGGAAGTGTCTCTATGTGCGCCATCGTCGTTTACTACAGTTAACGTCACAAAGGCATACGGTAGTACCGAACGGTCATTCAGATATAAGAGAAATATGGAGTTGATTGTATCTAGGTAAGGCTTTGTCGACCGTAAAAAGTAATATAAGACGCCCCATGCTATTTTTTTTGCGCTAACTTTTTCGGCTCCTATGCTAGGTACCAATGTTTTGTCAACAAATAAAGTTTTTGTAATGTTATGATAAACAATTTATCAGTTGGCAACATTTTCATATCTTTGATAGGAAACGAGTTGATTGGATTCAAACTTAAAGTTAGAGGGCCCTTCTATTACAGGTTTTTTTCTAATGCAAGAATTTCTATTAAACTTTTATTTTTCAAATTCCAGAACCGATGACACGTCTTCAACCACGAATCCCAGTAGGACATGATACCATTGCCGATCTCTCCAAATTAATTGTACAATTTCATTTGCTTCCTGTCAATCCTGATTCATCCGCTTTCTAGATTTCATTTTTTTTTGTATACAAAATATAACACGTGTTTGTTCTTGTCCCACCCAAACTTTTTCGACTTTGCCACAATTTTTTATGAACCCAGAATTCTTCTCCCGCCAACGATTTTGATTTGCTTTACTTGTTTTATTTTGCCGCGTTGTCTTCTTTTTTGGAATTTTCGAATTCAAATTTTCTCCCAAAAAAGAAAAAGAAAGAAGAGAAGACGAAGTGGATTTCACTATGGAAATGTCGAGTGTACGTCCTCAAAAAGGCCCTCGGAATCGGGGGAAATAAATAAAAAAGCGTTTCGAATAGCAACCGTAAGCTCCGCCGGCTTGGCTGGCTCCCTTCAACTTTCTTCTATTTGCCCTCACGGCACACAACAACAACATATACAGAGCATTTTGTTTTTCCGTATTTAGTTTTCATATTCTGTAGTCCTATGGGTTCACTGAAGCCAATCCTTCGAGCCCTGGTGCTCATTGTCGCTATAACTGGTAGGGACTAAGAAACAGGTTTGGGTAATTAAAACACTATAGGCACTCACCAACAAGTCAAAATCAAATGCTACAACTGTGTGACGCCACTCGGCGTGAATGATGCAATGGAGTACTGTAACGCGAGCATCTACTGCAAGGGAGTCTATTGCACAAAAGGGCCAAATGCTCAGTCGAATGGAATCTACCATGGATGCATTAATAGTCCACCAGTGGACAAGGCTGGAGCGTGTAAGTTGATAGATAGATAAGATTTTCTCAGTTTTATAGGTGAAAAGGATATTGTGAAATGTTAGAAAACATTTAGAATTAACAAAATAACTTCTAAAAACCTAAAACTTCAATTTTTCAGCATGCAAAAACACCGACAATCAATTTGGATTACACAAGAACTGCTACTGCAAAAACATCGACTACTGTAACGAGACAGCTCCTCTGGCAGCAAACATTGTGCTCATCGCCTTGCTCATTCTCGTTACTTGGTTGACCACGTTTTTCTAATTCCAAATAAATGTTGACCTCTGTTATTTTTTGTGTTTCGTTGTTATTCAAATGATGCTCATAAAAGAGGGCCGCGGTCGGCCGTGGTCCGTGCCGTTGGTTGGTTGCCATGTACCAAACCATCTGTTCTTTTGGAAATAAGCTCAGCAACCGGGAAACTTCTGAGGCCGCTTGACGAAATGAATAACTTTGAAATCAACAAAAAAAAAGAAAATGTGTCTTGAACATGAACAATCAGCCTATAAAATTGAAAAAAAAACTCTTCTCTGGGACAGGAAATGAAAAAAAAAAAAAACAATCGAATTTTTTATAGATTCCATTTTCATATTCAATCTGACGGATTCTGAAACATGAAATTTAAGTCTGCAGTCAGTTATACAGCGCTGGTCTGTAAAATATACAAAACCTATTTTTTTTCAGTAGATTCAGTTTTTCAGTTTTCAGTTTTTCAGTAGTTTTTTTAGTAGCTGTTTTGACTTTTTCAAGAGTCTGGAGCTTGGTTGTGAAGTTTCCAACCATTTTGAAAATTTTGGAGGATGTAAAATTTGAAAATTCCTAGTTATTGGCTGAAAAACGTCCCATTTTGTTTCGTTTTGTAGTAGAAGCGTGAAAAGGCAACGTCCTTCAGAAATCTGTCAGTGGATAGAAAACTGGGAATTTTCGAAAAAATCTGTAAATGCAAAGTTTTCGATTTAGGTATGTTTTACACCCTTCAAAATTTTTTAAAAAATCGGGAAATTGATTGCCAAGCTCCAGACCTTTGAAAATGGTTGAACGCAACTGAAAAAATACGTTTCCCCATTGACCGGTACTGTATATGCTCAAAACCGTTTATTTTCTTAATCTAGTTTAGTTCAAAATTGTTTTCAATGATTTTTTTTGTTCCGCCGAATTCCCTCTTTCACATTTTCAGGTCCTCAATGCTTTTTTCTGGCTCCGGTATTTGAAGGTTCCCGTGAACTTTTCTGGTCCCATCGCCCTTTTGATTGTTGCTCCTTGTCAAGTTTTTGATAGATGAATCACAAAGTTAAGAGCCGCGTCTCCCATCTCTTTCAAACCAAAAACATCCGAAAATACCAAAAAAAAAACATTCGAAAGAGCGGTCATATTCATCCTCACCTATATCGGAGCACATAACCGCCGGGAGCGAGCTCGCCTCTCCCTCGCAAAAATGACAGTTGGTTTCATTTTTGCTGTGTTTGCGCCGGTGTGTGTCGGGAAGGGAAACAACCCCTTTTTCGCGGAGAGCGAGACGATACTTCTTCCTCTCTGTCTCTCTATTCTTCTCAGATCGGCGATTTTTCCTTTTCCTCAACCCGTCTATGGAAGAGCACTGTGACTTTATTAGCGAGATGTTTACACGTCACTCAAAAAACAAACTGTCAATCTCGAATCTCAACCAATAACTTTGATTTTGTACCTTTCTTTTTCCTTCTTTTTCATCTCTCCCCGTTCCGCTGCGTTCCACTTCCGTTACCTTCCTTATCGGGAGGAAAAAAATGAGCCACCATTCATCGCTAACTCTTCATTTTCGTACATATCTAGGGTGTTTCAAAAAAGTGAAAGCTGACATGCAAAACGACCAATAACCTTTCGTGTCCTTTTTTCCAAAACGTTTTGAACCTCTCTCTTTCTCTCCTTTTAATTGTCGAGTACTTCCATTGTTGTACTCTCTGTCAGGCCGTCTTGTACATTTCCTTTTCATGACGTACCACTTTTCGAAATTGCTTTTTCAAACGACTTTCGGTGCATGTTGAACGTAGTAAGTGGCAGAGGTTGATATTTGCCAAACGATTAGCTGTAAACTTTGGCTCTGAAAACCAGACGGAACGCCCGGAGAGAGAGTTTCGTGTTCCGCCAAAGAATGTGCATATGTCAACGAGGTAAGTACGACTCAATTTTACAGAAATTCAAGTGTGAAGTTTTCGTATGTTGGCTCTCGCATGTGTTGCGAAGGATCTAGGATTTTTTTTCTATTTAGTTATTCACATTTTCTTCACTGTTCGCATAATGACAACGATAACAATTGTTGCCCTTTTTTGTACTAAAAAAGTGAGAAAAACTGGTTATTTTAGAAATAAGTGGATAGCTGGAAAACTAGGTATTTTCAAAAAAAAATCAGTGCATGCAAAGTTTTTAATATAGCTCTGTTTGAGACCTCCGAAAATTTCAAAATGATCGGAAACTTGACAGCCAAGCCGCAGACTCTTGAAAATGGTGAAAATGGCTAAAATTCAAAAAAAACTCGTTTTGTATATCTTATTGACTGGTACTGTAGCCATGTCTGTTTCGAGGATTAGACGGTTTTTAGTTCGCATCATTAATTTCTTTAATTAATTAATTTCTTCAAAAAATCATTTTTGTAAAGCAATATCTCAAAGAAAAAATTTCTTGAAAACTTTCAGAAGATATAGACTTCTGGGACCGAAAATTTTTCACTTGTCTCAAGTTCATTATAATACAAAAATTAGATCAGAAATATCAAAGTTTTCGTGGGTTACTGTAGTGAAAATTATAGTTGTGACAAAATCAGAATTTTCTTTACAAAAATCTCTGGAATACTCCAACAGATGCATTTACGATAATTCCAAACGTCTTGTGTTTTTTTCTAAATATTTTTACCAAATTTACTGTTACATGTCATTATTATATTCCGAATAGCTTGAATAACCAAATCATTCGAGTTTCACAAAAAAGTTTTTGAACATTTCGAGCACATTTTGTACGAACATTTTGTACGAAGAAAATTCTGAAATTTGTATTAGAAAGGTCAAGAACTTTTGACTTTGAGCTCATTTCTCTCGGTTCCTGTGAGAGGTATGAAAAAGTTGTCAACTGATTAATTGTTTTTCATAATTTCAAAACTTTTTTATCAGTTGACATATTTTTGATATCTGGCATAGGAATTGAGATAATTGAGCTCAAACTTGACATGTCTTTGTGGAAGCTCCTCTATTACAGGTCTCACAGATTGTTTCGGTAGAAAACATGTTTTCTAGGTTCTGCTTCTTCCGGTAAAGATTTGTCACTCGACATTAAAGTTCTTCTACAAAACTTTTTCGTTCCATTTCCATTTATCTTCATCACCCCGCCTTCCCCGACAAAAGTGCTCTCCTTTTTAATTCAATTTCACTTTCTGCCATATAATTGCCCCAATCCATTGTATATCGTCTATCAATTACAAGTGACATGACAAGACTAGGAAACACACGTATATATGTAAGGATGTGTGCGCGGACGTATCGAGAGAGAGGCCCGAAGTGCTCATCGATGTACAAAAGAACAGAAGGCCGTATTACCCCTTGCCTAGGCAATGGATAAGAGGGAGAAAAGGTCAATCCAAAACGTCACATTATGCTGTTAGGCCCACCCCGGGTTGGGAAGGGATGGTCATCCACTTGGCAAATAGCCAACCCGTCCCTCTCAAAGTGTGTTGGGTCTCTGTCTCTATCTCTCTGTGAAAACGGCCCTGACGCGCATCTCTCGTTCTTCCTCCCCCCTCTGTCGTTGTTTTGTGTCTGCGTCTCTTCATCTAATCTGATCTCTCGTCCTTCTGACCCTCTCCTCTACTTGCGTTCACACTCATTAAGGTTCCCCTTTTGAGGTACTTTCCCACGATTTTGCAACTTTTCAAGTTTCAAAATTCCTGTTGTTTTTCTGAATATTGTTTTAAAATTTAATACAAATTGAAATAATACAATACAAAGTTTGTTTTGACAGCCAGCATTTCTTATCTTGACTGATGAACCCCCAACAACTTTCTTTATGATGTTACACTTTTCTCACCTTTATCTTATCTTTCACTTTCTCGGATCGCGGTTTTTTGTCCCTATCTCAATCCACCTTTTTTTTTTCAGAACCAAAAATTCTGGAGCGGAGGAGCTGCCAACTTCAAACAGGCAGTAATGCCTTTAGCTGACATTAACTCATCACTGCCGGTCATTTCTGGAATCGATCCAATTGAATTTTTGCTCACCGTCGCTGTATTTGTCGTCATGATATCCGTATTCACCTTGTGCAGTTGTTGCGGAAATGATAAATCTAACAGGTAAGCCGATTTCTAGAATTTTGTTTAAAAATCAAAAACAATTATATAACATTTGTAGTAAAATTCACTAATTTCCTAAATTAGAAGTTGTTTTGACAACTAAAATTCCTAATTTTTGATCCTTATTGTTCGCGAAAAAACTACTTTTTGATGTGAAAAAATAAGAACGAAGGAAAAACAATGAAAAGGAAGTGTTAGTATTAAAAACATATGTGTGCCCGGTGGGGCGCGCTTGCAATTTTTGAACATACTCGGCAAAATGAAGAGTAGTGGCTTCAAGAATACGGTAACGATCAAACTACTTAAAGTTTTGAATTTTCAGAGAAAAACAAGATGAAACGGACTATGGAGTGGTCACTGTCAGTGGCAACCCTCCAACTACCAACTCCAAAACTGCAGCCGTCCACAACATCAATTTCCGACCCAACCCTGTTAAAGCTCCTCATGATAGACATTCGCAGCCGGTTACAAACATGGTAAGTGTCTAAATCTAATCATGAACATAGAATTAGTCATTTAAAAATGCCTCTTAAAATAGTATAATCGTATAATATCCCAATTCTAGTTACAGAATATGCTGACCTTCAATCGTCAATCGGCGCCAGGTCGAGCGCTTCCTAAATTGCCGGCCGATTTGTATACGGCAATCGACAAAAAAGCTAAACGATCCGGCGGGGTCACCGTAGCCGAAATGGATGATATCCGATTTGTTGATGAAACTGTGAATCCCATGTATGAATGTATCGACGCGGAAACCGATTCGTTTGTAGATCCGCTCTACTCAAAGGTGGGTAGAAAAGTCATGAAGATTAGGGGTCCAGAAATACAAAATTCCAGGTTGGCGAAGTCACCGGACCATCCACCAGCCGTGATCGCAAATACGACTACCCAATCTTCTCTGGCCGACCTCAGAATCGTACTCGTCCTGATGAAACTGTCTATCAAAGCGCTTCGCAGATCTATGCGCCAAATTCTGAAGATCCGTACAGCTCTATCACATCGGAGCGTGGCAGAAATGCAGATGCAAATGATGGGGATAACAGTAGCGCCTACGATCCGGGCTACGCAAAAGTGAACCTGAACAATCAGCCAAAAGCTGGAGCGGATAAGAAAAAGGCGAAGATTGAGAAGACCGAGCGGGAACTTGATCTTTTGTACTCGAAGGTGAGATTTTTAAAGAAAATTCGAGATGTTTCGATAACGGTGTCTCGAAAATTATGAAACTGGCAGTAGTAGGTAAAAAAACAACATAACTGTAATTGTTTATGCCGTATTTCATCAAATAGAAACCTACCCAAACTATCAAATTTAAGCTTGATTATCTCGATTCCTGTGAGATATATGAAACATTTTCCAACTGATGAAGAACAAAATATCAAAAAAAAATAGACTAATTGACAAAATTGTTATGTCTTTCACAGCAACCGAGATAATTGAGTTCAAACTTGACGATTTCAGCAAACTTCTATTTGCGACAGTATGGTAGATTTTTTTGTTCAATTTCGTCTGATAACTAGTTTCTTTGATAACATAAAAACGCAAACAAAAAACCTGCTTCGAAATCTATGAGAGCAATATGCAACTGGGTGTCTTTGATTAATATAAATTAAGAACTCATGGACTGACATTTACGAATTTTACAGCGAGCATTAGAGAATTTTCAGATTTTACGTTGATTCCTATCACTTCCATATCTTATAATAAGCTGTTTCATTATTCCAGATCCGCCGCAACGTATCCCACTATGGAGATGACTCCCAACCCGGTCCCTCCAACCGCCCGGAACCCATCCTTCCAACATATCCCATTGCGGACCCCATACCTCCCAATGTCCCATTTGATGAACAATCAGTTGTTTCCAGCAGAGAACCGTCCTATCGGTACATTACAATGAGGTTAGCATTCATCTTTTGCACTCAAACAACGGAATAGGGCAAAAACTTGTTTCTGCAATTTTGTTGCCATGTCCGCTTCATTAGCAACACATAGTAAGATTAACAACATTATAGAGAAAACGCTGCTGTGGTTCGAGAACGACTTCGGCAACAAGGACAGCTGGATCAGCCAAGGAGGGAACATTACTATTCGACGATTGGCAATGAGTATGAAACAGTGAGTATAATGGGACCAACAAAAAATATCATAGAAAATGTTTCAGATCGCCAATGGAAACATCTCTACACAGAATCCACTCTCCATTGAAACCCAGCGAGCTCCTTTGGCTAATATCTCCACAAGCTCCATAATCGATGCTCCACCTCCACCAACATCACCGATTCCTGGGAGAAGTCGACCTGTATCCTACATTGACACCTATGGAAGTGGAGGACCCGCAATCCCACCACCACCAGACCTTAGATGCTCCCCAGTTCCACCTCGCCCACCAGGGGACGAACATCAGTCTCATGTCTTCTCCATCTCACACGCCGCATCTTCATCAGCGGCGCCACAGCGAGTGACCTATTCGATTGATTGTTAGTTTGAATTGGCAAACAAGAAAAAGGAAAAAAAACTAATGCGAGACCGATTTCAGGCAATGATGCGTATACAATGCCAACAACCAATCGACCGACATCGTCTTTCAGAAGTATGGAGACATTATTGGGGAAGCGGACGGTGGAGGAGAAGGAGACTATTGTAGAGCAGAGATCCACGTTTGCGTGAGTTGATTTTTATTATTATGAGACTTCAGTAATCTGGATTTTGCGCTGAAAATTGGAAATGTCTTCAAATCTTTGACCCCATTTCCTTAATCGCTCAACATTTCCAGAACTGGAGTTCCAATCCCGGCAAATACCAACATCAGTGACTCTATGAGCAGGAGCATGGACTCCTGGGCTGGTCGATCCGTTCATGAAGTTCCTATTCGGCGAGTGGACAGGAATTACGAAGGAGGGGGTCCTGGCGTCGATGTGATTATCTCTGGAAGACGCTATCGGAGTGGTCAGGGTGTGTTGGAAGAACCAACAAGTTCCAGTGCTGCGCAAGAAGTCAAACCAGAGGAGACACGGGAAAGTAGCGCCGAGGTAAGTATTGGTTATGCTATTCTGGGTGGTACTGGTCTAGAACATCAGACGATGTGCAATGAGTAGTCTATATAAATATGTAAAAATCTGGCAGAAATCTGGCAGAAACATGCCTACCGTAACTTCTTTCACAGAACTCCACCCGAACCTTCAGCTTTGAGCTCAATTATCTCAATTTCTGCGAGAGATATCAAAAACTTGTCAACTGATAAAATGTTGATGATATATAATTTATCAGTTTACAATGTTATGATATCTCTCACATGAATCGACATAATTGAGCTCAAAGTTGTCGAATTGGGTGGGCAAATACGGCAAACAGGAATCGTGTTCATTTACTTTCTAAATCAAACTGATTGAAGACTGGATCTTAGAAAATGGTTTTATTACCTACAACCTGTAACATAGTTCTATGGGGTGCTTTAAATAAAAAATGTGTTCTAGAAACTGACCAAGATCTGGCTTCTTTATCCGATTCGGAAACCACTTTGTTCATTTTAAAATCGAAAAAGTTTTTTTCAGTGTCAATAATGATTTAATGTCAATGAGTACCTTTTTACCACTGCAATCAGTCACAAGCTTTCGCAATTTTTAACTTTATCCTGTTTTCAGAAACGCAAAGACCGTACGAAGAGCTCCAGTGAGGATGAAGCAGAGACAGGCCGATCTAGCAGACTGTCAAAAAACAAAAAAGGCTGGAAAGAAGAGACTGAAGAAGAACGGATAAAGCGTCTTGGTACGATCTACACCGCCAACGACTACGTCTGCCAGATGGATATGACCGACCAGAAGCCGTGGCCAATGAGCGGAAATTCCACTAGTTCCAAGAATAACTGATTCATCTTTATTCCTTATAAATTGAACATTCGGGTAACCCTCATGAGCTTTTTCTCTTTCCCGCTTTACGTTGTGTTGTGTTCCAGATCATTTTCTGAGATTTATAGTGTCAAATTGCTTACTTTAATCACACCTAGTCATATGTAATTTTATTTTCTCCCCAGAACTTTCCAAAGTGTTTCTTTTCAAACTTACCCCATTATTTTTCAAAATTTTTATTGTAATCGGTGACAAATCTTCCATCTTGTTATTATTCTTAAAGAATTATCCACATCCATCCCTTGTAAAAAATCTTTAAATTTAATTTTCCCATTTTTTCATTATAAAAGTTATAGTTATGACCAAAATTGGTTGAATAGAGAAGAGATTTGTGTACCCATGGAAAGCTATATTTTGCAGATTTTAGGCGTCAGACCTCCACTTCAACTCCTTCAACCAAATATTGTTATCAGTGAAGTCAGAGGGATCATTTATCTATCTATCAGTCTATCTATCAGTGATGGGATCGCCATTCAAATTGCATACGTTTTGACCTTGAAAGAGTCTTATTGCAAGAACATTGATTACGAATGCATTCAATATGCGCACTTGTTATGAATACAATTTTGGATTTTTTAATACATATTGTATTCAATTTTTAATATCTGGAAACAGATGTCAAAATTACTCGTTTCACGAATGTGAAGAATTACAAGTGCGTTTCGAATTTTAGTTTTCATAGTCTTATCAGTTTAGCCGGGTTGTTCACTCATAAATTTTCAAACATTCTGTGATTATAACGTATTTCTTTTCTCGAAATCTCTCTAGAACTTGAATAAGAAATTGATCGTCTATGATTTTTTCAGTTTTGAAGGAACGACCCATTTTTGAACTTGAAAAATGATTGTAGTTAGTATGAAAACTCGGGGAATAAGAACTGCTATACTGGAGAACTGGTCAAATGAACTTCTGCAAATAGCTTCTACAAATGCGAACTCTCTAAATTAGTTCTCAAAAAAAGACTGAGAAGAATGATTGGATTTAGAAAGTATTCATCTCGTTTTGGAATATTTATATTTTATCAGTTTTTGGCAGATTCTTTTATGTAGTAGGCTTCATTCTGCGAGATCTTATTCTTGGTCAAGCCCTTTTCAGGCTCAAAAATATGTCGTTTTTTCAAAATATTTTCAAAAAGGACAGCTCGTACTCCCATGGAAAATTAAAATTATGTTCTAAACATTCCATATTTCATCAAAAAAATTTTTTGGAAAATCTCATCCAGGACAAAATATTCAAGTTATCCCAACTTTTTAAAAATTGAACTTATTCATTCCATTCTGTATGGCTTATGTTTTTTGTAGCCAGGTTGTATATTTTTATATTTTATTAGGTTGGAAAGTAACTGTTCATTTTTTAATTCGTGAATAACACAAAAACAAGATTAATCCGAGATTGACAGTGTGCACCGTCGTGGTCCACGACATGTTGACAACATTCAGGTAACTTGTGGATACTATCCCTCCAAAAGCCAGCTGGCCGCTAATCAAAGTATTCCTAAAGTGCCGTTTTTATCTCATCGACAGTGTAAAAAATTATTTTCCCTCCAAATGACGTTGCATATCTCCGAATAACCAATAATGAAAGGACCACGTCTGCAGTTTAAGGAAATTGGTCAGCCGTTCATCCAAAGCAGCTTAGGACTGAATTGCATATCCTTTAATAAAACGAGATATTATGTTCCGCGGGAAGTCAAGTAAGACCTGGACCGCTTCAACTGGACGGTTTTTCTTTACGCCTCCTTTTCAAACTCCTGATTTGCTCCTTTCATAATTGGTTATTTAGAAATATGTAATGTCATCCGGAGGGAAAATGTTTAACACTGTAAATGAGATAACATCTGGACTGAAAAAATTCTTTGAGTCGTAGCCTGGTATCCACAAGTTACCTGAACGTTGTCAGCATGTCGTGGACCACGACGGTGCATATTTTGAATATTGGATAATTCTTGTTTTCGGGTTATTCACAAATTAAAAAGTGGACAGTTACTTTTCTTCCAACCTAATAAATGTACTTTTATAAATTCTATATTTTCATTAGGGTTCTGACGGAATGAAAGCCGTACAAGAAAGTCATTTGGTTTTTGATTTTTAATAATCAAGCAAACTTTCAATGACCAATTATGGAAAAGTTAAAAGCTCAAATGGTTTCTATAATATTTGAAGTTGATCCCTTTTAAGAAACTGAAAACCCACATAGAGAAAATTCTTGGCATCCCGTTGAACCAGATTTTCTCTGCTTTTGTTCTGCAATTTTGATGTAAATCTGATTTTTGATATGCTTGCCTATATAACCTTTTCGTAGAGTTAGTTGGTTTTTCTCTAAAATAATTGTCCTCCGTCAATGTCTATTTTTCTTTTTCAAAGAAATATTTTTCACTTCTTTGGGCGTTGAGAAAATCCGCACGAGAAAGGATCAAAAATGGAAATGGAGATTTAGAGAAACGAGACGTGAAAACGCTTTCATATGCTTTCTTCGTAAAGTTGAAAGATGTAACTCTGAGTAAATGAAGTTTTTAAACGCGCGAAAATATTTTCAAGTCTAGTTCAAAATTTGGGCGGTTCTTTCGAAAAACTACTTTATTTTCCTGGTTCTCCAGGAATTTATTCATTTTTCCAGTATGTCATTGGATAAAAGAAAATAGCGAAAAAAATTTGAATTTGAAGCATTTCGACTGATTTTCAAAGTGTTTAATGTTCCAAGTTATCTTTTTTTTATACATTGTGTTGGGCATTTGCCAATAACACAATACAATTAAAACTAGCAATAGAGATGAAAGTTCAGAAAATCTTCTAAACGTAAAATCTTTTTTCAGAATACATTAAAACTGTTTTGAAATTATAACTAATTATATTGCATGCGGACCTTTAAAAACGGGTCATTTTGCAATTAACAATTTCACATATTGACGTTCTAGTGCCTCAAGTTACAAACCGCTGGATCAGTATTTCGAACGTGCGATACGGTAAGATGCAAGGTGTCCGGTTGTGAGGATCCCAAAATCTAGACATCCATAATTCCCTTTTTCAAACCTCTCAAGGTCTTGAGCATCTTATTTCTCTGACCTAGTTAGTCAGCGTTTGAATACGGATCTTGTGGAGGAAACGCACTAACCATTCATTTATGGCGTCAGTCACCCATTCAAACCCTATTCAAACAATTGAGCTTGGGTCATCCTTGTATTACATAATGTGGATTTATTTAGAATGTCTCGTTGTGTGTTCTCCCTGTGATCTCTTTTGGACCACAAAGGGGGAAGCCAGGTGGAAGAGGCCAGTCTAGTCAATGATTACTTAAGCCATCTCACGTTTTCTTTGCTGTCTATGCTTTCTTAGTCTGCCCTCCCGGGTTTTATTCTTTGAGGAGTTTTTGCTTCACTTTCAGCTCCTTTATCTCATAAACTTGCAACAAAAAAAAACTGTAAAACTCAAATATATAGCATCTCCTAATTAAACGCCTTCCTTTAAAAGAACAATTACTGAACAGTGCTGCAAAAATTAGAACGCCGCAATCAAATTGAATGGAGTTGCTAATAAGTATCCTCAAAAAATAATTTACCATCAACCAGATCATTAATTTGCAGCACTTTAGCGAGGGTTGAGACATATTGCAGTATGCAAGTAGCGAGATTAATTTTTGACTATTGTTTCTATTGCCCATTTAGCTCTTTTCTATGTATTTCTGCAGCTGTTTGTTTCGGTAGGACCTCCAAAGAATCTCTATTTGCATAACCGATTCTCATACCTTTTATCAAGAATGTGTGGGGACATAACCGCATATATGTTTGTTCTTACAAATAGTATGAAACGTTTGGATAGCAAAAACAACCATAGCTTTTTTTGAATACCGCGTTTTGTCAAAACGTGGTATAGTAGAGAAAATTTTGTTTCAAATTCGTAATGCTTCTTTCAGATTCACATCAATGACTTCTAATCAACCCTTCCTCAATCAATTGTCTATTTTTGAGACAAATTCTGATGAAGAGAATGACACCGCGGTTAAAGACATCCCAGTTGGACCATTTTTCGCAAACGTTGACATTATCCGTGACAAAATTCTCCAGATTGATGATTCTTCTGATTATAAAGCCGACTTCATATGTTGGGCAATGATGATGAAAGTGAGTTATATTGATGCCGCTTGAATTCAACAGAAATTTTTTTAATAGAATGTGGATGTAAGAGCCGAATACGCATTATTCAAGATGGGAAGCGGTTATAAAAAGGATGTGCTGAAAATTTATTTATCTCCTGGAAATGTATATTATTGGTATCCAACTATATGCGTAAACGGAACTTCTGTTGATATGCGTAAAGCTTCACTTTTTCTACAGTAAGTTCGACACGCCAAAATTGAGATACACTGCTCTGAAAATCCAGATACCTCCACGATTACGTTGACGGCAATGTCACTGAGGTTCAAATTATCAATCAGTACAGGAAACGTCTGCGGATCTCAAGACTGCTTCATCGAAAAATAATTCAAACCCTGATTGGCTCGGAAAGTAGGCTTTTAATTATACTATTATTCAAATTGTCCATTATTCCAGAGAAACATTTGAAAAAGGTGTTCGGGATGGATCAACTCTGCGGGGGATGCAAACTTTGTTTCGATTTGGTGGATAATCTGGAAGAGCATAGTTTAGTCACATGGAAAATGTTGAGCCGTGGATCTAATACTGTGTTCAATCACATCTCAGTCCCTGAGTTGTAAGTTTTCTTATTATTACTCTAAATTTGAATCGAAGAAATTTCAGGCTAATGTTTCAAATAGCTCAACGATGCATGAATAGCACCAGTGACAAGGAAAGCTGCATGAAGCTCCTTTCAAGTTTTATTGAAGACAATATTTCCGTAAAAAAGCTGACGATTCCATCCCCCAGATATGACGGGCCTCCGGTGGAAGTTTTGGTAGCAATTTTGAAGCAGTGGAAAGTGAGAAGCGCTGTTCTGGACGTGCATGATTTCCAGGAATATTGCGAACTTGGCAACAAAAAACAGTTTTTCACAAAATTCTGTTTTGGAAGAAAAGACGAAGAATTGTCTTGGGAGTCAACGCATTTCATTGAGTCACTTACCATTAAGTTTACCTTCTCTGGACGCGTGTTTCGGCAGTTGCAAGAATTATTGAGGAACTATACGAAGCTATATCGCATCACTAGCAAAATCCGAAAAGTAGTGTCTTCAACTCAACACTGTGCCATTGTCTTCTCAGGGAAATTTAACGATCACCGAATTCGAAGCAACGTGATCATCATCCCATGTATCGTCAATACGGGGAACATGGAGAAGCAGTCCAACTTTACAATGGAATTCTTCCTTCCGCTCAATGTGGCAATCGACGCGGAATCTTTCCTCAAAAGATTGAATGCTTCCAAGCTTAATTCCTGGATACTTTCAACAATTGCTTCCGACCAAGAGCGTGAGCTGCCATTAAATGAGCAACACGAGAACTGCAAGTGGGAAAAGATGAGATTCTACAACAAGATTCGGAGCAACTGGATTATTTTGCATGTTTGTACCAAAGCTTGATTTTCAAAAAGCATTTGAGCTTTTGTGTTATCAATTGAAAACTTTACATTATCCCCAATTCCGAATATTTGAAAAACCTGTGAAAACATGTGTTATCGATTCAAAACTTTTGATTGTTGCTATTCCCTTTATGAGTATTTTTATGCATCGGATAAAAATACTCATAAAGGGAGTTCCTTCTTTCTTCATGTCATCAAATATTTATTCACACCCTCCAAATCAATCAAAAATGTATGACAGTGTTTTTCTCATGTATGGTTTTATAAGAAATATGATATCTAATAAATAATTGTAGCTAACAATTCAATTTCCCATGAATCTCCAAAGTTTCCTCACTTCCACACAATTCTGCTATCAACGCCGAATCCTCCCTCCAAAAATTGGATGTTGCCAATACAAACGACGTGATTTCCACAATTGTTTCCGACCAAAAGCGTGTGAGCTGTAATTAAAAAAGCAAGACCAGGGATAGAAACAGAAAAAGATGAGATTATTCAACAAGGAATAATGAAAATTGGAGTATTTTGCATGCTTCTCCCAATTCTGAAATTTCCAAGAATTTTTAGGAACATATGTTATTGATCAAAACGCTTCATTGTTGTTATTTTCTTTATGAGTATTTTTATGTATTGAATGATATTCGACACACTCCAAATCACTCAAAAATGCATGATGCTGTCTTATATATGATTCTGCAAAAATTTGATTTCTAATGAACATTTCTCGGAAACAATTAATATTCTCATCGATCCTGAGCTTCCTGAAAATGTTGCGAAGATTCCCGATAATACGATATCTTTCTCGGGCCCAAGGTGTCAACATCCTGGTTAAATTTTAATTGCGGCGTTTACATGGAGAGTATCATTTCCGAATTAATGATGATATGAGTGCACGGGGAGCTGAACGTTGGTTAAAAGTAGGTTCAAAATGTAGTCTTCTTGCTTTTTTCTTCAAAAACGCTCACAAACAACCACTGCCTGCCGAGACACTAAGAAAGATACGAATCTGAGAAGTGACCCCAAAGAATGATGTGTTCTCGACTGCTAGATCGGCAGGGAAACAAACGGCTGTCTCCTTTCAAACTTGATTTTCACCAGTTGTTCTTTCCTGCACTTTTCTCGTGGTTCGATTTTTTGTATTCTTTCTTTCAAAGTTCCTACTTTCCTTCTCTTACTTTCCTAACGTTTTTATGCATTGTTCTTTTTTAATGGTGCATATTTTTCAGATTCTTCGACAAGAATCGTGAAAACTGGATTATTTTGCTTTTTCAAATCCTGAAACTTCCAACAATTTTTCCAAATCACTTAAAAATGCATAATGGTGTCTCATATCTCATATGTGATTCTCCAAGAATTGTCTCATATGTGATTCTTAGATCAGTATTGTCTCAGAATAAACGATTAACTGAATGCGCGGGAGCTCAAAATTAATTGAAAATAGGCTCCAAATAATGTAGTCTTCTCAGATTCGCAAACGATCAAGGAAAGCGGAGAAACGGAGAAAGATACAAAATGAAGGGAGTACAACACAGAATTTATCATTAATGAATAATCCTGACTCTGGGTGGTTATAAATTCCTAGCCTACGTTAAGACTCTGCTTTGTGCTGATGGCTGCTAGATCGATGGAGAAACAAACATCTGGCTCTTTTTAATTTCCGTTTTGTGCCAGCTGTTCTGCTGGGAACAAAACCAAAAAAATTTGCATTTGTTCACATTTGATATTTGGGAACACACATTTCTTTCAGTTCGATTTTTCTTCGAAAGAAAAAAAAACTCTTCCACCTCATATTTTTTCTGGCATATAAAATACACAGTGCCTTTCTTTTTACCTTTTTTTCCTTCATGTTCGTCTTTCTCCTATATATTTCTGATGTTCTTTTCTGTGAAATTCGGATGATTCCTTTTTGATCCTATGAAATTTGGATGTTCCTTCTTCACGGCTTTCAAAACATATAAATTTAAGTTAACGAAAAATCTGATGCTTTTTCAGAGCCATGAATGCTGAAAAAGATCCAATGATTTCGGAAGAGCTACCAAAGTCGCAGACAAACATTCAGTTTTGTTTTGGAAATGATGTCATCAGAGCTCGCATTATGGATTTCACACTCAAACATAATCCACTGACAAATCAAGGTGCTAAGGAGATTCTCGCGTTGAGAGTGAGTAATTTATTTGCAATTGATTTTCAAAAAAATCACATACTTCCAGACTGTTAACAAAAGCATGAACGTCTTCATGCTCTCCGAATACCGGCACCGTTCGCTTTCAAATAAGATTTCATTCAATAGCTCATCCAGGGATAACGCCCCTTGGGATTTCGACTTATTAGCCGAAGAACAGCAACTGCAATTCTTTAAAATTAACGTTAATAAGTATCGAGTGAAGCTATCAGAGCTCTCAAATTTCTGCAGGTATAACGATGTGTATATCTCAGAGCAACTTAATGTTGAAGTTTCAGGTTTTTCAACTACCATCGAATTCATCCAATGAATGATGGAGCTGAGATCCATGTTTCGGACATATGCACGCGCTATCCTCACTTGAATAAATTTATCCACAAGGAAATTATTGAAACTTTATATGGATCAAAAAGTGAGTTTTTATGATTTATCTAGCAGTCTAGAAATGGGTTTTTTCAGAGTCCCATTTGAAAAAAATTTTCGGAATGAATTTATTTTGTAAAGGATGTGAGACTTGCTTGAATTTTTGTGATGGATGCGACGAGCACAACTTCGTAACTATGAAAAAATTGGAATATGGATTTCCAGATGGTAAAGTTTACCAAACCATTGAATTGTCTATAAGGTGTGTTCAAACCGATTGTTTTCAATTTTTCAATTTTTAATTTACAGAATTCAAAATGAAATTATTGAAAGATTTATTGACACCACCACTCAAGACGAGAATATGAAAACTTTGGCAGAGTTCATTCGGAGCAATTTCATTGCCAAGAATATTATCTTTGGAATGGATACCCATGCGACTACAATTATCCCAGTTGATTTTTTCTCGCTTTTTATCAATCAATGGAGTGCAAAATCGGCGGAAATTAAATTGTGCTGGGACAACGAAGACGCTAGCAAAGGGACCCATTTTGGACGTTTTTCGGATTTAATTAAACGGCAACCAGATGGCCATGAGTCTGCTATAAAATGGAGTGTAAACAGCATAGGTGATTTGAAACACTACAATTCATCTTATTGAGATTTTTGCTTTTCAGAATTGCTCACGCGAAATGAAGGATTAGACAATATGATTTCGAATTTCCGGAAAATTATGCCGTCGAAAAAAATTGTTCTAGACAATGTATGGATGTTCATGCACGTACCAAATGAATGGGCATACCCCAGGAAAGGACTGGCTCAGGATTTTGTTATGAATCAAATCACAAACTATGCCACCGATGAAAACTTCTCCAATTTCGAACTGGAGATAGCCGTTCCTGCAGACGCGACATTTGCTGTAGACAAGCTTTGCGGAATGTTAAGGCAGCTTGGCCGTAGTTGGGAAGTCCGAGAAACCATCTATGGAAAAGAAATCTGGTGCAGATGTGGTCGCAGATGGACAACGTACGCAATGGCGAACAACAGAATCCAAGGCCGGCTCAATATATCTATGATAGAGTACATCCCAAACTCCCGTTTTCGATGTCACAGTGGATTTCCATATTCAACCGAACCTAGCTGGTCTGATGACGAGGATGAATAATTCTTGAGTATTCGGAATTAGGAATTTTGAGAAAATATTCTCAAATAGTTTAATTCTTTAATTTTTTTTTCAAAAATGATTCCAAGGATGAGCGAAATAAACGTTTTCATTATTATTGAGGAATTTTTCTAATTTCAGGTTTGAATGAGGTGGAAGGCATGAAAAATCGGCTCTTTCCGGGAAGAGTGGTCCCAAAGCAGGACCGCCGGTTACAACGAAGTTCGACACCGGTCCCATTTGTCCGATAATGGTTTCATTGATCCAAAAACGGTCCCAATGTTCCGATAACGGTCGTAACTTGCCGTAAACGGTCCCAACCAGGCTTGAAAAATGTGCTCTGGAATTTTTTTCAGAATGCTCCGATTTTTGGTTTCGCGTTATAGGCTCACATTTAAGCAAAAATATTTTTTTTCTGACAATAATGTAAAATAGGTGTTCCAGCCTAAGCCTATAATTTCAGATTTAAAAAAAACACGCTGGCAAATATCCCAATTTTCCCAGTAAGCATGGTTGGGACCGTTGTCGTACCGTTGGGACCGTGTCGGACTAATGGGACCGTTGTCGAAATTTGGGACCGGCTGTCCGAAGATGGGACCGTTTTTCCCGAAAAGAACCGAAAACCCCTTTATTAATTTCCTATTCCTTGGATTCCGTAAACACTCTAATAGAAGACCACAGAAACCGGCAACTTGGAGCTCAAATATCTCGGTTTCTGTAAAATGTATCAAAAAGTGGTCAACGAACAAAATGTTGGTCACCATATAAACATTTTGCTAGTTGACCTCTTTTGGATATATTTTTACAGAGACCGCGATAAGTGATATGTCAAAATATTCGAAGAATTTCGATCATCTGAACTTTGTTTCGTTCCCTCAAAAAATTCAAATTTTGATCATTAACCACTCAAGTGGAATACAAATGATTTCTGAGAACAAAATGGTGATAAAATGATTTTGATCTCTTCTTTGATCCTTATTCTTCACACACAGACTTTCACAATATTACCTGAAGCATATTCTAATCTCTTCAATGAAACGCCTATTTTCTAAAAGATTGGCACCAAAAACCTCATATTTGTATGAGTATCATCTTTTATTAATCTTTGAGACCAGTTATCTGGTACAAACTTCAAGAAGTAGTCCTCATAAAATCTCATTATACGGAATACAAAAAACCTATCCCCTACAATTTCAAAGATCAAAGTCGACTTTTCGACTTCCGGTCAGAAAAAAGTTTGTATATAAAACTACCGAAAAATAATGATTTTACTCAAAGAAGGTATGAACCAAATTATTTACTATGGATCTATTGAGAACATGCCGCTGTATAATTGCAGGTTGGATTATGAAAAGTTATGTTTTCTAATAGTTTGAATTTACAGCGCTCATTCTTCTGAGGAATGGTCTCGACTTTATGGAGAACGTCATCCGTATCTAGGACACTTTGATATCGTTTTTGGAACTGTCGTAAATGTAAGAAAAAGGATTTCAAAACTTTTTGAACAATTAATTATAGATTCTTTATATCCCAATTATATCCGTGATGTTCCAAAAGGAGTTTTATAAAATGTCATGTTTCAAAATAATGATATGTTTGGGGATCAATGATATGCTGGCTCTATGCGTCAATTCTATTATCACTGGTGTTCTGGCTGTACAGGGAGCTGTTTAATGCACTTAACCTAATTTCAACTACATAGTTGGATCAATCATCCTAGGATTGTGGTGCTGCTCATGTATCATTGTGATGGGACTAGTTGCTAATAGGCTTCTGGAGATGGGAAAATCTTCAAGGGCACAGGCACTCTTCCAAGGGTACTAATAAAAAACAAATCCTTCAAATTAAGTTTAATTTTTTCAGAAATCGCACCTATATCTTTATGCTCATCCCTGTGATGTATGGATTGTATTTTATGATTTTTACAAACCCAGTGGGGTTTAATTCAAAGTATTACACCTGGCTTTTCGATCCCATGATCAACGAAAATCATTCTGAACAGGTAATCAGAAACATTAGTTCAAACGTTAGTCCACATTAAGAAATTTCAGCACCGCAACATTCCTCATAGCATCAATAATGTTTTAATTGTTGCCATAACTTGTATCTTGTATGTTTGGCTCTATTTCTTGATTAAGAATCAGATGAGTATGATCAGTTGGAAAAGTTTCATTTATGAAAGGTCACTAGCTTTTTGATTTCGGACCTGTTGATTAATTGAGGTCACTTTGCAGAACACCTTCCAAATTTTGATTTTAAGCTGGCAGCAAAAGTTTTCAATGCTGGCATATAGGTACCATCTGGAGGATTGTTTTTGGAAAGCAAAGTGTCCTCACAATTTCAAATCCTAGTTTCATATTACCGTATTTGCTCTAACGGAACTTCACATAAACAGCAAACTTTGAGTTTAATTATCTCGATTTCTGCGAGTGATATCAAATTGTTGTCACCTGATTTTTTGAGAAATAGTTTACCAGTCAACACATCTTTGATATCTTTTACAGAAATCGAGAATTGAGCTTAAAGATGACGGGGTGGGCTCCTAAAAGAGGGAATATGGTATGAAAAAGTTGAAAAAAAAGAGAAGATTGAACTTTTCGAATAATTAGAATTACTTCAAATATGAAATGCATATTTTAAGATTTCACAAGTTCCATGAGACGGTGTTGGTCAGACTTACTCATCATGTAATTTTTTGTGAATAAGAATATACGAGCACTGTAGCTTGAATTATCACGCCTCCTGATGAACAGATCAAACTTGTTCGAAATGAATTTAAAAAACGTATATTGTATTTTCTCGAAAAGCCCACTCTATACATTCCCTTTGAACTGAAAGATAACAAATCTTTGTTAACTGTTTAAAAATGTATCACTTAATGATAAATAATTGATCAGTGGACTTTTTTTTTATATCTGTTGAAGGAGCCGAGATAATTGAGCTCACAACGCACGCGTTGGGTTTGCTGGTCCTGTCAGATATTTCAGACATATAAAATCAATTTTTGCATTTTCATATTTTTACTATCAAAATTTCCCAGTTTACAACTCTTTTTTTTTCCTCAGAATCGAGATACCATAAAATCTGTATTAATATTGCGCCTCTATTTGAATTACCCTTCTAATAGAATTGCACCCCTTGAGGGTACTTGAAAAATAGACTTGCAGCCTTTAATTGAATTGCCCCCGTAATACAATTGCATCTGCAGCAGTATTGCGGCTCCGCCGGGAGTACTGTACAATTTTTAGTCTGTGACACCGTGACGAACAGTTATTTTTCGAATTTCTTTTTTTTAAACTACCTACCTAATTTCTGGTTTATGTTTATTTTTCTTTGTTTTTTAACAATATTTTCCATTTATTGAAGCGAGCAAAACGAGCAACGAGTTCTGATGAAGACCTAGAAGACGTGGAAAACGTGTTCGACGTGGAAAAATTGGATGACGTGGAACACGTGGAAGACGTGGATAACGTGGATTACAAGCTTACGGTGGTGAAATGGGCAGAACCGCGAAGATGATGAGGCAATTCGTTGTTTCAAGAAAGATGGAGAAATTCCAAAAGGCGTACAGTTAGTGAAGACAAGACGAGCAGAACAAGAAATGGAAGAAATTCAGGAGATTTTGGGAGATATTGAAATTGAGGAAGACGATGGAGAAGTGAACCATGCCGAAGAAGAAGACAATAACTATGACAGTGACGCCTCGATGTTTTGATTTTTTAAAATATGCGATAATTTTCTTTTTGTTTTGTTCAATTTGTTACTTTTTTTGTTGATTTTTTAATAAAACTGTTTTTTTTCAAAATTTTAACCTCAAATTGTAGTTTGAAAAATAGAATTGCAGCCTCTATTTGAATTGCCCCTCTAATATAGTTGCACCCCTTGAGGTGACTTGAACAATAGACTTGCATGCAATATTAATACAGATTTTACGGTAATCAGAAATTCCGTGGAAGAGATTATGTGATTGTTTTTTTTTAAGTTTTGAAACACTGAAACAAACATGATGATCAGAATGAAACTTTTTGCAATATTCTAAAACAATACACATTTTACAATATAAACGAAATATCGAAAAATGTTTTAGCCCTTATCGCACTTTTCAACAAGATTTATGACTTTCTTAGTTTTTATATCATCCTTTGTTCACCAACTGACTAATACGGGTATCTCAAAACCTTGTAAACCCAGGTTTTGATGAAATTTTCAGGATAGAAAAATCAGGGAAACCTCTTGCCCCCCCCCCCTCCGCCAAATTTTGAAACTCTGAAACTAACAGGATGATCTGAATATATATTTTCAGAACATTCAAAACCAAAATAACAAAGCCTCTGACTTTCATAGTTTTTATATCATTCTCTTTTCACCAATTGACTCACAGGATATGTTCTACATACACCAAAGGATTAAAGCAAGCACAAATTGTACACTCTCCAGAGGACTTATTCTCCGATTCGTATTTTGCATCAAAACGGCTTTCAAAACACATTTCAAAACGAAGAAAAACACAATTATGAATACATCTTTGCTATTGTTTTCTCTGAAAGCTTCTCCCTGTTTTTTCCATTATATAGAACATTGACCACCCAATGCTAGCTGATCATATTCTTGTTTACTGCTTTAATTATTAGGTGCTCCCACAAATTGTGTTCTGAACACTAATTAGTATTCAGTACCTCCAACAGTTCTCCGAATTTGCAAAACTGCAGAAAAAAGGGCGCACAGTCACGCGGGTGTTGGCGAACGCCACCTCTCTCACTTTTTATTTTCCGATGGGAATCGTTGTACGAGGTACTATTTCCCTCTCTTTCTGTTTTTTATTCTCTTCTCATTCAAACAACCTTCGTGTTCTATCACCAAACACCCATTTTCCTCTCTTCCTCTCTCTCCGTGCGTCTGTATTCTGCAAAACTTTGAAAGATAAAAAATGGGGAACAAAGTCATAAATACCGGCAATAACGGTGTGGAAGACGGTGGTGGAGGAGAGTGCGCGGGATAGCGATACGTTTGAATTAGACCAATTAGTCATCATTATAAGTATTTTTTGTTATCTTGCTAAAATTAATCCCTTTTATCTTTTTCTTCTTTTCGTAGTACCGTTTTTTCCCGACCACCCGGTTAGTTTTCTAATCAAGTTGCGTCCTTGCACTTTATATAAGGCCAAAACCTACAGTGTTAGCCATAAATATACAAAAAAACACGTTTTTTCAGTTTGTTTTGACCATTTCCAGGACCCTGAAGCTCGGCTGTCAAGAGTCCGATCACTTTGAAAATTTTGACCGGTATGAAATAGACTTAGAATAATTACTTTGCATATACAGAATTTTTTGAAAATTCCTAGTTTTCAAGTTATTTGCTGATTTCTAAAGGACACCTCCGTTTTTTTCTGTTTTTGTCGTAGAAACGGGAGAAAACAGGTGTCCGTCCTCCGGAATTCACAAGGGAACCTTTTTATTAGATATACAGGATGAAAGGGCGTATTCAAAAACCATTAAATCCGTTTTCCGAGTCTTCTTGAAAGACCTCCAAAGTGCTGAAATTCCACCACCAAAAATCACTTTTTCAGTGTCAAATCGGCACTTTTCAAATGTTATTTTCTCCACTCCTATAAGGTTTAAAACTTTGAAATGTCTTGTGTTATACCTAAAATTATGTGTAATTACATATTTTTACATTTTCAACACAAAACTCATTTTTCGACAAATTTTGGAAAGTGTCAAAATTTGCCTACACTTTGAGTGAGCGCAAGTGTCCACGTTCGGTAAGTTTTTTGATGAAAATGTCTGAAATATAAAATTTCTCATAGTTTTAAGTATAAGACAAAAAGTTTCAAATTCTTAAACCTTTTAGGAGTGGAGAAAATCGTATTTGAAAATTGCCGATTTGACACTGAAAAAGTGATTTTTGGTACTGAAAAAGGAATTTCAGAACTTTGGAGGTTTTTAAGCAAATTTTGAAAACGGATTTATAACTTTTGAGAGACGCTCATTCATTCTAAATAGTTAGTATTTGCAAGTTAAAGGATAAACTTAAAAGGTTTCTTTGTCAGCAAATAACTGGAAAACTAGAAAATTTCCAAAAAATCTGTAAATGCAAATTTTTCATTCTAGGGATGTTTTTTAAACCTCCAATAATTTCAGGGTTATCGAACATTTGACAACCGAGCTCCAGACTCCTAAACGCGGTCAAAATCAACTGAAAAACAGGTTTTTTCATAAATTAACCAAAGTAGGACGAAACCTATTCCGCTTCTTACACGCTTCTTAGAAAATAGTTTCAAGCGACACTCAAATCTTCCAGTTCTTCTTTTTTTCAGAAGAGTCTTTTTTAGGACAAATGTACCAGGAAGGAAAAATATGTTATTGTTATACGATTCATTCTGTATAGAATACTGTTCCTTTTCCCTGTCCGTCTCCCCCCAGTTTTCTTTTGCAGTGATACAACAATCGTTTCGGTTCTCCCCCCGTTTTCTACATTTTGTGATTATAATTTTATTTCAGTTTGCACGCCCGCTCCACCGTTTGCACGCGCTTTGTGTTCACCACATTGGCCGCTCAACTTTTCTTTTTCTTTGATAAATGAGAAAAGAGACCAGGCTGATAAAAAGTGCTATAACTCTTCTTGAAACTGTCAAGGGCGACACGATTCTAGTGGAATACCCCCATCTCTTATCAGCCAATGCAATCAACTCAGCGAGAGATGGGCATCTTATTAGGAAAGGTCGTTTTTTGTTCTCTCTTTGAAGAACAGGAAACCACTCCGAACGATTCTAATGTATGTGCTTTTCTATCTGCATTTGAATCAAAAGGTTCACTTCGAAATGAGGTTTATTGGCGTTTTCCGCAACACCTGCTGTTTTGGGTACATGTTGCATTTTTTTCTATTTTCCTGCAAAAAGAAAAAGCAAAGCTTTCATGACAAATAGACTTTACTTAACTCCCCGGAGCCCGTTTAGTCTTTTTCTCAAGTTCCATTTTTGGAGAGAAGGGAGAAACCAATGTATCATTTGAGCTTTGCGGTCCCATTTTTCCTAAAAGACTCCAAAAGGGAACCAAGAAGTGCAAGCTAGATGATCATAAACCGGAACTCATAAGGTCTAGAAAATTTTGGAAAACATCTAGAAAATTCTCATTTTGCTCTCCTTACAGCCTTTGGACTTCCATTTCTGGAGAACGCTTGAAATCTGAAACTTTTTCAGCAGCTTCTTCCTGCTCCTAGCCCTCCGAGAGTGGCACTGGGCTCATTTCCTACTAATCTGCTAGTAGGCGCCTAGATAACACACTTGCATATACATATCCTTGAGCATTACAAACGCCTATTTCCGTTTCCTGTCTGCATGTTTTTGACTTTTCGGAAGCCCGTAGCAGTAGTATCAAAAGTTCATGATTTTCCGGGATTTTTTGGGAGAAACTTCTGATTTTGCTGGACTAGGGGCCACTTTTGATCTTATTAATCTTTCCTTTTTTTTGAATAGTTCCCGTACGTACTTTCAGATATACCAAACGTACAAGTGATCTATAGTACCGGTCAATAAGATATACAAAAATGTATTTTTTTTTCAATGGATTTTTAACGATTTCAGCTATTTTCAGGCCTCGGCTGTCCAGTTTCCGAGCATTTTGAAATTTTTAGAGGGTATTGAACAGACCTAGATATAAAAATTTTCATTCACAGAGTTTTTTAAAAATTCCTAGTTTTCGGCTATTTTTTGATTTCTGAAATACCCCATTTTTCACGTTTTCAGTATTAAAGAAAGACTTCTTTCAGAAATCGGCAAATAACCGAAAAACTAGGAACTTTCAAAAATTCTGTAAATTCAAAGTTGCCAATCTAGGTCTGTTTTATACTCTCTGAAATTTTTAAAATTATCGGCAACCGGACAGCCGAGCTCCAGACTCCTGAAAATAGTCGAAATGGCTAAAAATCAACTGAAAAATACAAATTTTGTACATCTTATGGACTGTTACTGTACGTTCATCGATGCTGTCTCCAGAACGAGAAAAAAGTTTGTGATAAAAAATTCGTCATACGGAAGGCCAGATGTTGCAATACAGATTTCGAATTTGCAAAAAAAACCCATTGAACTTTATCTAAGAACACGTGTCCCTGGTGTCCCTCCTGCTGGCAGCTGTCGCTCGTCCCCGATAAAGTTCTGCTCCAGCTGCCCTAACACATTGTGTTTCGAGGAACTTTTTTCCTGCAGAAAAAGGGGCGGAGCTTTTACATTTCCTTATCTCTCGCACACATTCTGTCGTTTAGCGCCGCCCCGTCTGCCTGCACCCTTTCCAGATATAAACCGAACAAAGAGCATTATTATTTGATACGTTTTCTCTTATTTGATACTTTGCGACTTCTCGAACTGATTTTTGAATTATCCTAAAATTGTTCAATTCCAGAAAAATGGACATAATGTTCGCGATTATCAAGCGAAAGCTGAGCAGAAGTATAAATAGTGTTGATGAGGTTTCGATGCACCGGATGAGTTCCCAAGTAATTTATAATTTTCAGAACATGAATGAAACAAAATCCAGCACATCATCGTATCTCAAAAGAAAGACATCGGTGGCGAAGGACACGGTTCCGGTGAAAAAAGGCAAAGAATTAGTGCTTGCAATGCCATCCACATCCAAGGCATTTCCACCGGAGTTCAACAGGATGGTATGTAACTATAGAATGCGTGGGTATTCGGAGGGTTACTGTAGAAATTGCAGGGGATCAAGGAGCCGATAGAAATCGATTATTCCCGAATTCCAAAAGGTTTCAAACTTGGAGAGCTTGCTGGGTACAAATTTGCGGTAAGTCGAATAAAGTGGAAAATGGAAAATTTTCAATAGTGCCAAAAAGTATATTTTTCTCAAGATTACTGTAACATATATTATTTCTATTAGCGATCATACCAGATTACAGTACCACTATTTGAATTTAGATAGTTCTCAAACATGCCCGCCGACTAATAATGAGGTGGAAACACTAGAAAGAAGAAGAATTAAAATTAAAAAATTTTTTTTTCTCAAATAACTTCAGATCTGCAATAATCTTGAAAAGAATGAAGGGTGTAACCGGCCTATATAAAAAACGTTTCATTCACAGAATTCTTCGAAAATTCTTTTTTCAGCTATTTTTGTTTTCATTCCTGAAACTGTCTGTTTTTTTCAAGTTTTCAATACAAAAACGTTTAAAAAGTTTTCAGAAATAGGCGAATAGCTGAAAACTAGGAATTTTCGGAAAATTATGTGAATGCAAATTTTACAATCTGGGTCTGTTTTACACCTTCTGTAATTTTCGAAGTGGCCGAAAACTCGACAGTCGAGCTCCGAACTTTTGAAAGATGTCAAAATTATAAAAAATTGTCTGAAAAATAGGGTTTTCTAGATCTTATTAACTGGCACTGTGATATCCAGTCCTCTCAATCAGACTTTTATTTTTTCAGGGAATTGTCCAAGCCAACCTCTACGATAAGTATGAAATCCAAATCTACTGTCGGCTCTTCGAACACTTTGCCTGGTACCCATTCTACATATTTCCTGAAGAATGCTACGTTTCTGCTCATGATCTTGCTGTCTCACAAATCGAATATTACCGGCTATCCCCATACGAAAAGCTTCGAATGTCTCTTTCACGACCTAATAGTACTCCTGACGAAGACGAAGAATGCTTAAAATACTCTTAAAAATTGAAATACGGACTTATGATGATCCCTGTATTTGTACAAACCCGCCCACTTCTCTGAATGTATAATTTTTTGTCTAATTCCTGTATTGCAACTTTTTCCAATGACATTCCCGTTTTGGAACTGTTCCAAATGTCCCCAACTTCCCATAAGTTACTTTTACGCTGCCTAATTTTTTTTGAGCTTTGGCAAACTATCGCAGAATCAATTTTTTTTTAAGCCCTTCGCATGACTACCGGATTATTTTTTTTTGCCGCTGAAATAAAAATTTTGGAAGTATTTGGAAATTGGGCATAGAGGGAAAGACAAGTAACCCAGATTAAACGAAAATACAGTAATCCCGATCTTTGAAAAAAACGGAAAAAGACACAAAAGTTTAAATGACGCTTTGGGTTCAAAAACCTATTCAAACGGTAATGCAGAGTGTCTGGGAGAAATAGATAAAAGAGAATAACGTTAAAGAACGTTCAAAAATCAGATTACGGTAGAAATGTGGAAAAGACAGAGTATTGAGCACAAAGTTCTAATTAAAAACTGATGTGGGACCCTTTTTTTCAATTTGAAACATTGTTTGGAGACCTTTTGGATCTATACACTTCCGTATTCAATTTTAAGAGAAAATACCAAAGTACAGTTCAAAATTTGTTGCAAAAATCATCTTGACTACCCTGATAAAACTTATCAGATGCATTTAGCGGTGTCACTACTCCTCCACTACCGTAATATGATGGATAACGTTTAAATTGCAAAAAAAAACTACCATTCTACTGTCGGTTTTTTTGTGTCACCTTGCACTGATGACAACCCGTCATTTTCCCGGTCACATCCATCAAACATAAAAATGCTGGTCGCCCCAGTCACCCCTTTGCAAACCTCTCTCCTCCAATGGATTAGACGTTGTAATGGGCCTCACATACTCGTTTCGTCCGCCTCGCTGTCTCCGAAACGTCTTCCATCTGGCCGTCTGCCCTTTTTAACAGCGTCTATTCAAGGCACGTGCGCGGGTCCTTGCACCCTGTTCGTATCTTATATCCATCAGCGTCTTACATGCGAAAGGAGGTGTTCAGAAGACTACAATTAGCGGAGAATGTCGTAGACATACTATTTTTGGAATGGAGTGCTCTATTTTTTGGCAGAAGAAAATCGAGTGATGAGAAAACACATTTATACAAAAAATGTCATGAAATATTATGTACAATTGAGATCAAGGTGAAAGCTCAAATTTGCAATTTAGGTTTTAGGTTTCATTGATCTTAATCCTTCGAAAAGAGTTCATTCTTGAATTTCTGAATTTCAAAAACTCAAAAACTTGGTCTGCAAAAATCACAAGACTGGTTTTTAATTTTGATTACCGTCTTCTTACAAAACTAATTGACTAGTTGAAATTTTGACTAATTTAGATTAATGGTTTCACTAATTGTCTTGAATGGATAGTTTTGCCAAAAGAAGGGACCGATTTCTATTGAAAAAAAGACCGATGAAACTCAAAAACTAGAAAAAAGACTACTCACTGAAACCAGAACCATTCAATCCCCAGAATATACTAAACGCTAGAATAATCACTGCAATCCCACCGGTCAAACCAACCAAAATGAACGTTGGCCGCTTATTTCGTTCAGAAATTTCCAGTTCTGCCGAGAAGAAAATTTGCTGCAACTCAGTTAGCTCGTCTTCAATCGGATGCCAATACGTTTCAAAAAGAGCTGGACAACTTCCTTCTTCTTCGGGCAATAATGTTTTGATCCAATCGGAAACCTGAATGAAACGAGGCGATTGGGTGCTTCACCAATCACATCACTCACGATTAATGGGTTGATGTCATCTCCAAAATCCGAATAGCTGTTCTCATAGAGGAGAACTGAAAGATGACAAGAAGTTTCGGCTAGGAATGGCATTCGTTTGTAGAGGAGAACATGGGTGAGACCATCCAGAGGAAGTTTGATTCGGACTGGCTGGATGCCAAGGTCCTGGGCAATTCTGGAAAAAAGTTACAGGTTAATTGAAGGAATGGAGACAAGAAGTTTCTCGATGTTTTAAATTACGATATGCATTTTGACGAAACCGTTTACAATGATTTATGATATTAGTCAGCTTTTGCTACCGTAGCTTAGCCGCGCGGCATCCCCACCCGCCGACCCAATAGTTCAATTCCTGAAGGAGTTTGTATGAAAGAATTTCGAAAAAAATAATTTCTTTATGCTTTCCCACTTTCAAAACCAATAAAATTGAAACACAAACCTTGCCACTGTTGACCAAGAATGTTGCGTGCATTTTGGTCGATCTACCAGCAAAAGGTACTTCATGGAACAGTTAGATGTGTCCGATAAAATTGTGTTCAAGTCACCATAGACTTTTGGTTCTATCAGGTTCAAATGGTCCACTGAAGACATCCAATCTGTGACAGCCTCCTGAAAAAAGTTGAAAAAACTGAAAATAAACTGAAAAAAACTGACTGTCGAATTTTTCTCTGTAAATCATAAGTAAATCATAATCGAATGAGAACATTTTCTTTCAATTAATTACCTAAGCACTTAAATACCACTTTAGCTTTTTACTTTGAGCTAATTTATCTCAATTACTGCAAAATATATTTAAAAATGAGAAAATATGTAAAGTGGTAGCTGGCAAAATAGTTATGATATAAATACAAACATTTAGTGGGTCACTTTGTGATATCTTTTACAAGAAATGTGATATATGGTCTTTAATTTGGCGGATTAGAGGCATCCTGTATAGTCTACAGTACTTTTCCTATTCAAAACATTTCGAAAAATGTGATTATGTCAGAATTCTTGAAAAATGAGGAGAAACTTGGAAAAACGCATTCTATTGGCCAAAAAAACAATCATTTTTTGTATTTTAAGGTTTTTACGGCTTTCACAGAATTTAACGAATTTTCAATTTATATGTTGTACTATTTGAGGGGCATATATAAACAAAATTTTCACGGATTCATTTTGTTTGATGTTCAACTATTTTCAAACGTAAAAAAATACTCACCTTACTATTAACATCTCCATTAAAGACGACCTTCTTTAATCCAATGAAATAAATCAAATTCGGGAATGATATCGTGTCATTAGCATCGATAAATGATACTGGTTGTCTGTAGGTGTGGTAGTAGTAGGTTATCGTTTCTGGATCCTGATAACCTTTCTTCTGGTTGAACTCCTTTAGCCAGAGTGGGATCTAAAAATAGAGATTTTGATTTTTAAAAAATATCAAAGTTGTACTTTGTGGCTAAAAAATTTTGGTCCATGAGAACCAGAATTTCCAGAAGGATCACAATTTTTTGAGTATAATAATTTAAGCTTTTTTAAACATCAAAATTTTAATGTAAAACCTATTTTTGTTCAATAACCAGTTTTTATTCTTAACTCACATCTGCTCGATGTTTTGCGCATGTTTTGTTACACACCAGAAGAATCATCCGACCATACTCCATCCTTTCTTCAATGACTGACTCTGTTTTTGATTTTGGTGTGCCATCTGAAATTTGAAGTTTTGACACCGAAATGAAAAAAGAGTTCAAAAGTTCGATTCACCAAACTCAACTCTAAATTTGAAACTCACCTCCACTTCCTAAAAAATCAGGAATAAAAAATGAGCGTTTACTACTTAAGCAACAGACGTAATTAGTTAGTAATAACACGAATAGTGTTACATCTCGAAATTGCATTTTTCATCAATTTCTACAAGAGTCTGGCGATTTGCGGGGGTGAGTTGTCTCAGGATTTTTGCACAGCATGTGTTTCGGTTTCTGTTTCCTCCTTCCGCTAGTCATTTATTACACAGTTTGGAAAAACGAAAAACGACGAGACCCTTGTGCCCGGGGATTGTGAGAGACGCGATAACCGAGATGGTGAAACTGGGAGAAAAAATATAATGGCCGGAAAAATGAGGTGCTAGGTGTGAAAGGGTAAAAAAGAAATGAAGATTTATGAGGATGAATGGGAAGAGAGAACACTTCTGAGTCTGAGAAGATAGGAAAATGATAAAGTGGAAGCCAGGTAAGAAGTCAGAATGAGCAGAGAACCACTTAATGTGAGAAGCCCTTGATTTTTTCCCTGAAAATTTGTTTGAAATTTATTTTAACGAAAATTTCAGAAATCGTGTTATGAATTGCTAAACGAAATATAGTTTTGAACAATTCAAAATTCGGGAATTGCTGGATCATTTATTCGTTTCTTTTGAATAAATATCTGATTAAAATATATATGTGAAAACGAGGATCTGTTTCAATCTGAGAAACGGTATTGGTTTATAATTTGAAAACGGGGACAATATAGATGAGGATCGGGAGCATATATCGTTATTTTGAAACAATAATTAACCATTTTGATTGAAATAATTGGGACCAGGGAGAATTTAATAAATGGGAAATTCACCATAAATACCTAATAACACTTCAAACTATTCATAATTTAATAGCTCAAAAGCGGCCACTGAGCGCCACGATCTACTAAAATCGTTGGCAGAATAGGCAGAGGTAAAAATTTGAAATTTCGTGAGAAAATAAAAAACCTCTATTTTAATATGGCAGGGGCAATTTGACAAACGGGGATGATATGCGAGGTTGCAGAGATGCAACTGGGATAATAAACTAAGGTGATCACGTCGAAGAGATCGGGTCAAAATAGGAACGCAATCGGGGATGGGAAAATTACTGAACAACTTACCATAAATACTAATAAATTAAATAATCAGAAAGTGCATTAATATTATAGAATATTATGGGACTGTAAAAAATCTGAAGGAATACTTTCAGAATGGGTAAGGAGAAAGAGCGGATTGAGAGAAGACAGACTTTCAGGAAGAGTCACAGAAGTCACTTTGGAATGGCGTGCTTGTTGCAAGCTCTTTTTGGACTGAAAGTGTTGGACGAAGACGGCACAACATCCAACTGGAGACGACGACGACGTGGCGTTTGTGCTTCTGGAAATTGTTTTTTTTTAATTTTGACGACAAAAATCGTATAACCAACCTTGCATTCCAGAATGTGACGAATCCGTCTTTGGGGTCGATTGAGAGTTTTCACTGACTCTGCTGAACGGGCGATGCTTCATAGATTGAGTAGCTGGAATCGAGTGAGAGTTGTCGGAGAGAGACGCCGAGTCGCCTGAAAAAATATGTGATTTCGAACAAAAGTCAAAGATATATTTTTGTCTCATTGCCAAAGATCAGTTTGCAGTTATGAAAAACGTTTCAAATTTTTTAAAACTAACCCTTAGCACTTTTGGGAGAAGCCACGGACTTCGCAGTAGACACTTTGACATGCTTTTCAGTTTGACGTTGAGTCGATGCTCGTGAAGCTGAAGTGTTGAGAGTTGTGTGAGCAAACTGTGCCATCGACAACGTTTGATGAGTTCGAATCCGCACTTCTGAAAATTTGAATATAAAAGAAGTAAATAAACATCTTCGACATATTGCTATTAATTTCTATTGCGCGAAGGTTTTGTTTTCAAAATGGAGCTATTGCTAAAATCGAAACATGACGCATTCTTCTGTTTAGAAAACACTTATTTCAAAGCTTCAACATAAATTGATTATTTGCTAACAAACTAACCAGTGTTCCCTTCTCTTTCTTTATCGTCATCCGATAAGCCCTCGTCGTCTTCCGATGAGTCCTCACTTCGATCAAGTTCCTCGGAAGTGTTCTTATTCTCCTCAATCTCGTCGTCGTCAGAATCTTCTCCAGTTTCACCATCCTCGTCGGTGTCGTAGTTTCGAGCGACCTCAATGCGGTCTCTCCAGCTGATATCCGGCTTGATATACTCATCTTCATCAGAGTCTTCCGAATCCGAATTTGGTTGTATCGTGTTTGGGCGTCCTTTTTTGTTATTCTGATACTCCTCAATCAGATTTTTGCACTGCTAAAAATTTATTGATTTTACATTACTTCTCACTATTGAACGCCTTACGTAAAGCTCCGCCTCGCTTCGCCAGTAATTATAGTGTGGATCGGAGTATCCATTAAAGGATACCAAAAAGTGCTTAGTGCCAGAGGAGCTTGTGTAGTCGTTTAGCACTTTTTGAACAAAGTAGTCTAAAAAAAAAATATCGACTCGAAAATATTTTAATAATAACATTACCTGGGTTTTTGAAATAATCTTCGTAACTGACCATCCTCCAGTATTCCAAGCTTTCACGTTCTTTGCTCTGAAATAAATTGTATGTACAATTACCGTAAACACTCTAATAGTACGCCACCCGGACCGTCCACTTTGAGCCTATATAACTCACTTCTTTTAAAAGATATCATAAAGTTGTCAACTAATGAAATGTTTATCATGTTATCAACAACATTTTTCAATTGAATTAATTAGAAATTATTAGCAGGGAAGCATATGCGCTCTCTCGGACTCAGGAGGAGAAAAAGGCGGGAGATTCAAATCTGGGAGAAGAAAGGGACATTTCGACGGCTACATCGGGGAACTGGACAGTAGATGGATGATGTGGAGGGGAATTCTGAAAGAAAGATTAGGAGGAGGCCTGGAAGCTCAGTATTGAGATAATAAGACTCGTGGAACGCAGGAGTTCCACGACAATAACGTGTACATACATACCGTTGGCAAAAAGTGAGTGGATTTTTCTGCTCAAAACTAACAAACTAAATAGTTAAAAAAGAGATAATACCGGAAAAATCAAGAATCCTTCACTGAACTAGGGGATCTGAATCTTCTGGTAGATCCATTACTGAAGAACTAGAAGCTGTGTGAGTCGTATTAGGAGCATCCAGATTGACCAGTGGCTCCTCTGCTGGAGAAACGGAAGCCAAGGATGCCGCGGAAGGCATAGCTGGTTCCAAATCCTCGGATTCCTTGGCTACTCGGTCGGACATCGACAGTTTTGGATGATCCATGGATTCTTCTAGCATTTTTCTTTGGTCCGATTGGAGTTGAGTGGTGCATAGCTTTTCTCCAGACGTTCTAGCTTCAATATCTTGAAGACTTCCTCCAGCCTTTGGTCCAAAATCCATTGTCATCAACTTTTCAGCCTCAGTCTGCAAAATTAAAGAAAACACTTATCAACCTAAGCTGATGAATCCATACCATTGATTTCTTCTTCCTTTGAGAAGATCCGGATGTGCCAGCTTATCTTCTGTTTCCTTGTCATATCCACGAGCTTTTCTCATTTCTTCGATGTATTGATCCATGAGTTTGAATCGCGGATCTGGTGCCCTGAAATAAGGAAAATTATAGATTTCCATCTCAAAATTCGATTTTTCTAGCTAAAGACTTACTTAGGACCTTCTGGTCGATAATGGTCCAGTGGGAAGAGCCAAGGTCTGCCATGTTTGGGAAGATCCTCTTCGAACACCTCGTACTTCCTGATCCACTCTGGAATTTCTTTGATTACGGCGTGCGGTCCGTATGCTGGTTTTGGAGCTGGTTTAGCTGGAGCTGGCTCCGCCGGAGCTTTTGAAACTTCTGAGGGGTCCAGAGGTTCTATGAAGTCCGATTCATTCCTCTCGTTTCTTGGTCTTTTGCCCATCAATGCCGATTCTGCATCTGGCAATGCAGAAATCCTTTTATGTTTATTCAGACCTGAAATTTTGAATTTTAGAAAAAACAGTAAAAATTCCGGAAAATATTTTTTTTCGAACATTATAACCTATGTTTTTGAATTTCCCGCCTCTGAAAACCTCAAAACGCTATAAAGCAAATTGCCACCGAACTTGGGACTTTGAACTTGGGACCTCTAAATTGAAACTGTCGGTTGGAAATTCCACTAGGCCATCTGAGCACTTTTTCGAATAAAACGAAAAATTGACTTTTCGGATGGAAATGTGGGGGTTTTTCAGTGTTTTGGAAGTGTTTTTGATCCTAAAAATTGAGATTTCTGGCAGTTCATGTCAATTTTGAACTAAAAATGTCTTGAAAATTTAAAAGTTAGAGGCTAAAATGTTCAGAAAAATGTTTTTCTATTTATTTTAGAAATATTGGGCAGTTTTGGAGCTGAAAACCTTATTTTCGCACTAAACGCACTTTCTGTGACCTTCAAAATCCATTAATTGACCTCGAAAGCAGTTTTTCCTAAATTTTTCGAAAAATTGCTCGGATGGCCTAGTGGGATTTTCCGCCAAAATTTTCGATCTAGGGGTCCCAGGTTCAAACCTCTCCGGTGGCAATTTGTTTTTTAAAACTGTTTTACGGTTTTCTGGGACGGGAAATTCAAAAATAGAGGTTAAAATGTTCGAACAATGTTTTTTTTTTGATTTTAAGGCTTGAAAACTTTGAAAATCAAGATTTTTGAACTCAATTTTTTCAAATTTGAAACAAATACTTACCTTCGGAAGGGGTGCTGGGTTCAGAATTCATCATTGATTTTTCAAAGATTTTTTGAATTTTTCCTGTGCTCTGAAATTTTGATAGTTATATAATTCAGTAAGATCTGATCAATAAAAATTACGACAGAAAAAAAAAACAATCGAAAAATGTTTTGTGCAATAGAGCGCGTTTTTATAACTAAACGATAATACTTAAAGCTAAAAATACAAGGTTAAAAAGGGTAAAAAAGATAAGCAAAAAGGATAAAATTTGAAAAAAACCTATGCAAAATAAATTGGCACACAAAATCAATACAAGCAAATTTTGCAGTTGTACTCGTTGTGTATCCGTTTTTTGGTCCTTCGGAGGGGGGAAGGCATAGTGGTGACCCAACAACGGAGGGTGTTATACACATGTAATGAAAAAAAGGAGAGGAGGACAGATGGCAAGGAGGAGAAAATAATACGAAATTGGACGTTAGAGGAGAGAGAGGGAGTGAAAGAGAGAACGCGCTATGATGAGGACCTCATTAGTCGCCCCTGTTGTCATATTTAAACGAGGGCAACGCATTGTCCCCTCCACACACACACACACACACACACACACAGACACACCAATAGTGCGTCAATCAAAGTTTGAAGGCGCGTTTGGTGGGCGATGTAGATTTTTGACATCAACGGAGGTGAACGAGATATCGTTGTATTGAGAGTTGGAAAAATTGCTCCTAACGCTTGGAAAACAAATAACAATTTTTATGAAATTAAAAAAATAATGAGAAAAATAAAGTTCTCAAACTTGCAGAATGATGAATTTTAACAAAAAATATGGGAAAAACGGAATATTCCTAAATTCCGAAATTCCAGTCGCTTCAAAATCGGATTATTCTGAAATACCGAAATTCTGAAAAATCGGAATATTCTAAAATTCTAAAAACTTCAAAATCGGAATATTCCGGAATTCCAAAAAACTCCGAAAAGGCCATTCCGAACATCTCTGTCCTCATATTAAAGGTATTAAAATACGTACATTTTCAGTAATCCCGACTTGCTGCCAATCGGATGGTGTGAGCTTCATGGGTATGATCTACGTTCTCCAGTTGTAGAGATTGATGACTAATCGACAAATGACGACTTCAGCACACTTCTGGTCATTTTAATAGGATTTTGAAATAGCTATTTCCTGTATTCTCAATTTTTTGACTTTCGTGAAAATTTATACAAAGGAATTAAAATTTTTATTGATAGGAAAATTATGATTTTTGAAAAGAAAAAATGTGTAAAAAAGCAAAAAAGAAGGCGAACAGGGACAGAAGACAAAAAAAGAAAACCATGACGTTACGGAAAAGGGGAAAATAAAAAATAAAATTCTTTATACTGATAACTGATAATTTTTTTAGAAGGCTGTTCTGAGAGTTTCAGGGGGGATGAGGGCATTATAACGTGCAGAATTCTTTTTTATACCAGTACATAATGGGGGTTGTTGCAGGATAGAGAATAGAATAAAATGGGAGACTTGAAACATGGATAGTATGAGAATTGGGCTTGTTGTGATCAATGACAATGCTTTTGAAAAGGGTGGGCTTGAAAATCAACTGGGTGGGAAAAAATGGGAAAGATTGTAATATATTTTTGTTTTGGTTAGCTTAGAACCATTTTTTAGAACCGAAAAGGAAGTGAAAAGAGTATTTTTTGGAGAGGAAGTATTAGAAATATCAGAAAACTACCGAAATCCAATGATTCCAATATTAATAGGGTCTTCAGGAGTATATAAATGGAACGAATAGCATAAACTGGAGTGCTGATTAAAAAATCGAATCGAGGGTTGGTATCACAAGATAGAGTTGTTGGAAGCAAATATATATACAGCACTACTATACAGTCTAGGGTGTTTTTTCACAGAAAAAATTATGGGGCCAGTGTCAAAAGAAATAACATTTTGCAATGAAATGAGAGATCTTGACAAACAATTTTTTGAAAAAAAGGAACTACTAACAGACACTACAGGTATAAAAAAAGTTGCTTAGGCTCTCTTCATGCAAAGCTCCTTGACAAATGGATCCACTTCCCAGTTCTTAAACAGTTCCATCACTTGCATGTTCTCCTCGTTTTGGGCGAGAATGTTCTGGAAAATAATTCAGGTTGAAGATTAGCTCTCTGATGATAAGAATAGACTCACCTGGATGCTGGCAGTCATCATCAAGAGGCTTCCATACTTCTGAACGCCGGATGGGATTCCAATTTTCTGAGTAATACAGGTGAAGAGTCCTCCCAAGTACTTGTTTCTCTCCTCGAACACTTCAGTCTTAGCTGGTGCAGACAGGTCAAGAGCGTCTGAAAGTATTTTTCCATTAGAAAGAACAAGCTACAGTAATCAGTAATTACCTGGATTGAAAAAAAGAGCAGCCTTGAAGGTGGCGAATTCGGAGACGCTCAATTGCAACTTGCGGAATGGAATCATAATCTCGTCCATTTGTCTGGTGTAGATTGGACGGCATCCGGAGAGTTGGACCTGGAAAATTATTTCTTAGTTTTCAGATACTTTGAGTTTTAGAATATACCTGTTGTTGTGGTTGTCTCATTATGAATGCTCCATTTTGGAAGACAATCTTGTCCGGTCCGTGGTCTGGCGAGTAGAACACACGGTTGAGCAAGTTGAAGGCGAACGCGAAGTTTCGGACAAGGGCAAACTGGAAATTTTGGAGGGTAATTAGGTTGAAGATAATCTATTTTTGGAAGAAAAAAACAAAAAATGCCATCTGTTGGCATTTCGATATCTAGCAATTCGATTTTTGGATGAAGTTCCAGAAAAGACTATACCGTTAACTTTAAGCTTAATTACTTAAATTCCTATGAAAGATATCAAAAAACTGTTAACTATCAAAACATTGATGACGTCATAGTAAACAAATTACTAGTTGAGGAAACTTTGATATCTTTCACGGGAACTGAGATACAGTACCGGCAAATAAAATGTACAAAAACTAATTTTTCAGTTGATTTTGGCTCATTTTGGATATTTTCGGGAATCTGTTCCTCAGCTTTCAAGTTTCCAATGATTTTGAAAATTTTGGAGGGTGTGAAACAGACCTTGATTGAAAACTTTGAATACACTGAGTTTTCTGAAATATCCTAGTTTCCAGCTGTTTGTTGAATTCTGAAAAACGCCTTTTTTGGCCCATTTATTACTGAAAACTGGAAAGGAATAGACGTTCTACAGTAATCGGCAGATAGCTGAAAAACTAGGAAATTTCAAAATTCTGCGAATTCGTAGTTTTTAATCTAGGTATGTTTTAAACCCTTCAAAAATTTCAAAGTCATCGGAAACTTGACAACCGAGCTCTAGACGCCCGAAAATGTTCAAAATCAACTGAAAATACGTTTTTTTCTGTATGGTTTTTAATTCTAGTAAGGATTCCCTTTAAAACGATCACTGTACCACATTTTTTATTATTACGTTTTCGTGTTCTGTGTGATCACGCTTAACGATCTTATTTTCCTGTTTTATTTTTCATTCCTAGGATTTTCAGATTTATGAAAAGCTACTTTTGTCACATTTCCCGGCCAATCCTTAAATTTTGAGTAATAAGAATTCTGATGATTGGTTTCTTAGTTTTCTAGCATTCCTTGTCTTCCCCATTCTAATAACTACATGATAACACAAAAACCACCCCAAAGCGGATTCTCTAATTTTTGGTGTTTTGGGGAAATCCCTTCCTCGTTTCGAGGCTCAGCTTGTTCAGGCAGTTCAGGCAACACATATGTTTCTAGCTGTGCAAATATCTCATTATATCCATCTGCACTTTTTTCCGGCTTCTACACACCTGATCAAAAAGGTTCAATCGTTGATAGATGTCGAATGTCTTTGCCCACTCGATACAGATGCGCATTTCGCGAATGTTCCACATGCGGATGTCGTTCATTGACGCCGGGTAGAGCTCTTTGAACATGATATTGGTCTGGAAGTTAGGTTCTATGGGTTACAAGAAGCTTGATTTAGTTGTTCACCAGACTCACGTCTACTTTAAGGTCAGTGGTCTCAAAAAGTAGGCAAGGGGACGTCAATGCATGTGTCACTCCGGTCACTTCAGGAATTATGCATCGGCGCAACTCTTGGCATAGTCCTTCCACTTGTGTGAGCTGGTCGATGATTTCCTGAAAAAAACCACATTGTGTATTCTAGTGTGTTGCATCTTCAACATCTTCTTCTTCTTTCTGTTTTTTCTTCTGGTCCACCACACACAAATATACACCCTTTGGCTAAAAAAATCTCGTTTCAGGAAGCCTTCCCCATATTCAGTTACACTAGCTCCAATGTTTCTCTAAACGACCAAAAAACATTTGAAACTGAAAGAGAAATTCAAGAAGGCAGGCATATACACAAATTGGTTCAGCGACACGCACGGGCAAAGAGACATTAAATGAATTTTCAGTGTCAGGAGCTCCCTCCAACCAAAAAAACTGCTACTAGATAAATAAATATATCAAGATAGCGAGACTATTGCAAAGATCCCTAGACTTACTTGATCTTGAAGTCGATGAGGTGTCGTTGCTTGCTCGTCATCGGATCCGCTGCTCATTTTGACCTTTTTCGTTGGCCCAATCCTATCTCGATCATTTTGTATGGCTGGAAGTTGCAAGGCTAAATCTTTTTTGTCGAGTGATCAAGTGGTGGAAGGTCACTGCTAATCTCCTAAGATCGATCCAGGAAATACGAAATTAATACAAAGATCATCTGTCATTTTGAAGGAAACCCCATTTTATTTTTTTTTTTTTTTGGAATAACTCATTCTTTTTGTCTAGTGATGAATCCAATTTCAATAAAATACTACACCAAAGATCTGTGTGTGTGTGTGTGTGTGTTTTGCTGAGGTGTCAAGTAAGAAGATAGAAATGCGCATCCTTTTCCGGGATAAATAACCAAGGGTCGAAGTTCTTCTAATTGTCAAGCGCCCCTCTTGTTTTGGTCCTTTTCTTGCTGGGGTCTCTTATAATCAACAGTTCAAAAATCTATTTTATTTCCATTTCTTAGCGTCACTGACTAATGAGACGCCTTCATTATGAAAGGAATGCTCGGTGTTCTAATTTCAGATCTTGTGCCAACGCCTTCTCTTAGATACTTACCTTTTGCATCCATCCCCACCAGTAAGCATTTGTTAAACCGGCAATGACGACAAGCACATCGTATATCTGTAAGAAGTCAGGATTCGAGAAGAAGGACATGATCAAAAACCAGAAGGGTGCAATTATTGAAACTCGAATTCTAAGAAGGATTCTAAGAACTCGGGGTGTTTCCTGTGGTTTTTGAAAAGAGAAAAATTTCAAAACTCACTTTTATTAACATCGCAATTCCCATTATACTGACATATAAAAGTTTGTTCGCTCACTATTGTTCGTCGGAAGAAGGTTTTACTGAAAAAACACAACAATTTAAGAAGCAAATTCAATTTTATATACAGTGCAGACATACAAAAACGCGTTTTAGTAGATTTTGGCCAATTTTCAGTAGTCCAGAACTCGGGCGTCAAGTTTCCGATCACTATGAAAGTTTTGGAGGTTATAGAAGTGACCTAGCTTGAAAATGTTGCATTCACAGAATTTTTTGAAAATTCCTAGTTTTTTAGCTAATTGCTTATATCTTTTTTCACGGTTTCAGTGGAAAAACGAGCAAAAAATGGTCTCTTTCCGTTTTGACTGCAAAAGTGAAAAATCAAGATGTCCTTCAGGATACTGCAATAAACAGAAAAACTAAGAATTTTCAAAAAATTCTGTAAATGCATATTTTTCAGTCTAGGTCTGTTTCACACTCTGCAAAATTTTCAATTCGATCCGACACTCGCCAGCTGAGCTCTAGAATCTTATAAATGGTCCGAATCGCCGAAATCAACCGAAAATCGAGTTTTTGCGTGTATCTGGTACTATATGATTCATATTAATTAAAACTAAGATCCCAAAGACCAGTGGACCCTTGTGCTTGAAAGTTTTCAGAGTACACAGACCATAATTAATTTCCTCTCCAGAGCTCCCTCACAAAAAAAATAATTACGTTTGGCGAGAAAACCCCTCGTTTTTTTTTGCTTGCTTCTTTTTCTCCACACTCTTCCTAAATTGTCTTGCTCTTGAGCATAAAAAAGAGGAAAAAGAAAAGCGTGACGCGATTTTCTACTTGATCGCATTTTTCTTTTTCTTCTTCACCCGCAAGGTCCATTCCCAATTTCCCTCACTCTTCAAGGTGAATTTGACAGCACAATGTATGTGCTTGGATTTGACGTGCTCGTAAAATTGAAGGGAGCTAGAGAAAACCAAAGAACCATAAAAAGAATGGAAAAATTGGTTTTATGTTCATTGGTCATTGGGGGCAATCGAAAGACTAAAAAGACTAAAAAATAAAAAGAAAAATAGACCGAATTTCTATTCGTCAACATTATCACATTTCATCCGGGTTGGGTACCCAACCCATCTCAATTTTTTTTCTACATCTTCCTTCTCATTTTTTGTGCCCCTCACAAGTTGTGTGAAACGGATAGGAGAGTGAAGCAAAGAACGAGATGGTCTTCTATCTTTTTCCTCTTTCCATGGTCCCCAGAGAAAAGAGCAGCAGCAGGGGAAGAGGAAGCTTCCTAGTGCAGGAAAAAAGAGTAAAAGTCCAAACAACGCCTACACAACACTTTGTCACTTACCACCCATTACAACTTGCTACACCATAATGATATCCGGTCGCTAAATCGGAGCATACTGCGCATAGTTCGCCTTCGGGCACTTTCCTTCCTGTAATTGGATATTTTGTTGTACAAAAAGGTTTATTTTAAGCTGGTTGCTTTAAAGATTCAATAAGACTCCAAAAACATTGTCATTGGTAATCGCCTTTTCACTTACGTTGAGCCATTCGCTTATATGATGGAAATTTCTGATCATTGCCCATCGAAGATGAGCCGTTGGATGTGGAGACGGAGGCCGATGAGCCGTTCATATACATTCGAGGATCTTCGCCACCGTCCCGCTGCGAATTCATCATCGGCGGTCCGTAGTTGGCTAGATGATTTTGTAGTTGATCAGCCAGTGTCCCGTTCATACTATAAAACATGTGCATTGAGTGGCCTGGATGGCCGTTATTCGAAGAGCTTGAGGAATCGTGATGGTGATGGTAGGGTGAAGACGACTGTGCCGATGCCGCAGCAAAGCACACGTCGTCTTCGGTCGCCAATCGTTGATGTTGCGCGAGAATAGTTGTGAATGCTTGCGGGTGACGCTGTCAATGTCACCCCACACCCGGGACTTCTAGACGGGAGGGTCAGGACGGGGAGAAGCAAAAAAAAATATAGAAAGAAGAAGAGAAACCGTTGGGAGGGAAAGGAGATGGATGGGAGAAAACGGGGAGGGAGTTAGAAGAAGCTCTAATGGGCGGAGCTTATGGGCGAAAACGCGCGCGGGGCGCCACACGGGCCCCTAAGAAAAAAAACGAGCGAAAAGAAAACATGCCGAAGGGACCAACGAAGAAAATAAAGGAGATGCGCAAAAATAGAAGAAAACGACTTGAAAAAAAACAAGAAAACGTTTCTCATTTTTTGGGTTTTTTCTTTTTGAAACTTTCAAGAATCCAAGTTTCCTCTTCTTAACAATCTGGAATGTCCCTAAAAGTGAAAATTTGATTACAGTGAACACTAAAGTAATTGGAGGCTGTCCATTTTGCCAACTTTGAACCCATATATCTCGGTTCCTGTCAAAGATATGGAAAAATAGCAAACTGATAAAATATTTGTTACACTATAATGAATAATTTGACAGTTGATCACTTATTCGTAACTTTGACAGTAAACGAGATACCTGACGTTGACTATTGGAGTGGTAACTGGGAAAAACTGGCTAAAAAAAATCATTTCAGACCTTTTGAGAAACCAATGGGTTGTTATAGATGGGAAGATCAAGTATGGCTTGTATTCTTTTCAAAATTTTAGATTTTTTTTCAGATCTGGAATTCTCTAAAATTTTACTGAAGTGAAAAAAAATTGATTAACTGGGAAAATTGGCCAAAAAATTAATTCAATTGAGACCCTATAAAAACCCGCTGGGTCGTTAGAATGAATAGATCAAACAGAAATTGTGTTTTTTTTTCAAAAAAATTTCTGGAATATTCTAAAATGCGCCTAACGTGAAAAACTTGATGAACTGGGAAAACTGGCCAGCAAAGACCCTCTAAAAACCCTTTGGGTCGTTAGAGATGGGAAAATCAAGTAGAAATCGTGCCATATTTTTTTGAAAGGCATGACCATGAGTACTTTGAACTATTGGGAAACCCCTTTTGTGGTATCAAAGTTCCCAAACGACTTTGAAAAATTTTTTGTCAGCATCTACCGATTTTTTCTTCAAAAATAAAAACCTATCGATGGGGGAACACCTGACCCCCGCCCCGAGTTGATGATTGATCAATAACAAAAAAAAGTTGAATCGTGTTATCGATGATGACGATTTCTGCATCAACCAACACTATATTGCCAACCAATTGAAATATTATACCGTGGCCGCAAAAAAAAAAGAAGCGATGGTGAAAACATTGACAACTGTTGATTTTTGTTCTCTTCCCTGTGTGTCGCTTTATGGATTCGCTGGGATTCGAACATGAGTTGAAAAAAAAGTTATTGGGGGTTTGAAAAGGAAGTTAAATCTATTTGTTGGTTTCCTAGAAATGCAAAAAAAAAACCGCTAACGTCTGGAATAATCAAGATATGGGTGTTTGGAAAGAGGATTCCGGCAGTTTTCGTTTGCAAAAATCTTCTTTTTCAAAATCGTCCAAGATTGGAATCTTTGGTGTTGGTAGGAGATTTTCTGGATAGGTCTCTGGCAGGTGTTATAAAGCTGCTGTACGATTTTAAAACTATTTTTGAAGTCTTTTCCCCGGGTTTTCCTTTTCGCTTATCTCCAAGAAAACAAGGCTCATATATTTTATAGGTTTTTCAAAGCGCCCTATCCATCACCAAGCGCATAAAAAAGAATGGGGGATTTTTTTTTCAAAAAAGCTCAAACTTACATTGGGCAAGCGAGTCAGCTTGCTCGCTTATTTGGAATTCGTTTGACGTTGATGCTGAGAGGATGTATGACGAGTGATACTCTCTGAAAGAAGATAGATATATACGATGTTGAGTCGAGTTTCAGGAGTGTCATCACGAAGATCACGGGAGAAACGAATTGAGAAGATAGAGGAGGAGAGAAGAGATAGTAGAAAAGAGCAAAAGTGTTCAAAATGATGTTTTGGGAATGATTAATTAAGAGGGGGGCTCAGGTTTCTTTGAAAAGCTCTTTCTTGAGCCGAAAAAAAAACCGCTAATCTTGAAACTAGAACACATTTTTCAAAAAGTGCAATTTTCTTTAATGCAAGTGAGAAATGAGATCAGACTAAATCTGATCTCAAAAAGTGCAAGCACGGCCGCAGCAGGTGGATATGCTGAAATGTATATAAATTTCCAAAATAAATGCCAAGTGTGTGCTTCTTAGTTCTCACGAAAAATGTGAAATATGAAAGTTTTTAGGGATCAAAAAAGGCGCGTGAGCAAAAATATGTGTTTTTGGTGTTCGCTTCTCTGTTTGAAGAGGTATCTTGCCAAAATAGAATTTTCATCTAGAATTACGACACCTTTTTCCTATTTTTTCCAGACAACTCGCCAAGAGAACCAAATTGATTTTACTTTGCCGACTCTTGGTCTTACTTGTTTTCGCTCTACACCACATAGTTTAGTTTTCTCACACTCAAAGATCGAAAACGATATGAAATTACACTTTTCGGGGGGCCAGAAGGTGGAGGTGGCTGCTGGCTGGGAGATGGAATTGCTAGGCGAAATTGGGTCCTCCCCGGGTTTCATCTCTATCTCTTCTGATCTCGACGCAAAGATTAGTCGAAAAGAAGGACGAGTTTTGAGGGAGAGGACAAGGTGGAATAAGAGGGAAAACACACTATTGATTATTGACCTGCGCCGTTGTCATTCTTCTATCACTAAAAGACGTTTTCGGCGACGTCTTCTGATTCCTTTTAATTGTCATCAACTACACAGAGAACAAGAATTACGTTGTCTTCTTCTTGTTCTACGACACCATCTACATCTTTTACATTTTTAGTTTTCCTCGTTTTTCTTCTTTTTTGTTATTCTTCTAGTGATGAGTGAAACAAAAGCTGAATGCAACTTGAGAAGTAGTAGATGAGAAAAGAAAGAGCCACAAAAAACGAGAGCATGCTACATTCTGATCTTTGTCAACCTTGGATGAGTGAATTCTGGAAGAAGGATTAGAGATCAAGAAGCTGGTGCCAAAAGTACGAGAATCGAATGAGAAGGGGAGTCTTGAAGGAGAGAAGAAATAATGGATGCAAGCGGATGGAGAGATCGGGGGAATCCTCATGAATTAGGGATTCCTCTCTCTATCTCTCTCTCTCTCTCTTTTTATATATATCTCTCTCGTCCGTGATGAATAAGAAAAAGTTGCGATGGACCACGGATGCATACACAAGACACACATTGAATTTTGAAACGTGGGACTTACGCGAGAGTAGCTCAAAAGTGAGCATCCAGATCCAGAAATTGAGCAGAGATGAGGTGAAGGGTTGATTTCTGACATCATTATTTATACGAATTTTTGACGAATTTGACAAGTAGTAGCAGAAAATACTGAGGATGAACAAGATTGGGAGCAAAAATCAAACTTAATTCTAATTCTGACCTACAGTACCGGCACATAAGGTTCACAAAAATGTTTTAGTTGATTTTTATCATTTTCAGAAGCCTAGGACTCGGATGTCCAGCGTCCAACTACTTTAAAAAATTTTGGAGGTTATAAAAAAACCTGGATTGATAACTTTGAATTCGCAGAACTTTTTGAAAATTCCTAGTTTTCAGTTTTTTACCGATTTCTGAAGGACGCCTCATATTTTAGTAAAAAACAGGAAACATAGGGGTGTCCTAGAACAGCCCAGATAGCTTAAAAACTAGGAATTTTCGAAAAATTCTGTGGATGCAAAGTTTTCAATCTAGGTCTATTTTATAATCTTCATAAATTTCAAAGTGATCCGACACTTGACAACCGAGCTCTAGACTTTTGAAAATTGTCAAAATCAACCGAAAAGTTGATCAGTATGACCCTCAAAAATGACTTTCTCTTCTACCTACACCCATTTTGATCTCAAGGGTACAATTTCTTGCGCATGAGTGCATCAGAACAAATTCCAAGTTACGTTACCTTTCGACTTGAAAAACTGGATAATCAAAAAGGGCACCAGTGAGAAAAAAATCTCGTGATTAAAAAAAAACGACGAAAAACAGAATGACTGTCTTATCCATACTTCTACTATATCTGCTACCACCTACACTATGATCTGTGATACTACAAAATGTATTTGAAATTTATGATGATGGGCAAGGGGATTTCTGTTTTTGCTAACTAAGAAAAAACTGGTCGAGATAAGCGAGACATAATTATTGGTTTTATTAGTCTGAAGATAAGGAATCTAGATTATTCTAGACAAAAATCGATTCATGGAAAAATTGAAACTAACTGTACCCTACCAACCAAGAGAAGCACAAACATCTAGGTCTTAGCGAAAAAGAGCAAACGGTTAGAAAGAAAAAACGTGAAAAAAAGAAAAGTAAAGATCAAACAGAGAAAACCCCCGACTGAGTACAGAGCACGTTTGGTTTAGAGTGACATGACCGGGTCTAAAAGAAACAAAAAAAAGGGTTTCACCTGGAACTGACATAGAGATCGGAAATCACAAGGAAGAGAGCAGAGAGAAAAGGGAAAGTATTGCGAGAATAAAAAACAGGCAGAAAAAGTGATTTTGCAAATGTTCTAGGTTTTCGGTGTTTTGCGAGAGGTAAACAATTTATTGTCGATGGGTCAGAGCGACCCCAAAACCCCAGAAAATGGATTCATTCTTATCTGGGCCTCTTTTTGCAGGACTCTGTTCCTCTGGGAAGTCAAATAGCAATAAAACTGTCAATGACTCCTTTATTAGATAATAAGGTGAGATTCATTAGTTCTAGGTTACTGTATTACCCATTTTTTCGAATAAATACGAATATTGTATCTTCT